GTCTATATACGAATCTTGGGGTAAGATTTGGACATGAATTCGACTAAAAATCGATGTTCAGATTTGAATGCCAGATTAATCTAGAGGGAAAACCATCAAGAAAAAGCCAAACTTCGTGAAAATCGGATGAGATTTGACCGAGTTATGGGGGTGGTAAATTTTGACCCATGTCTATATACGAATCTTGGGGTAAGATTTGGACATGAATTTCGACCAAAAAATCGGTGGCGAGATTTGAATGCCAGATTAATCTAGAGGGAAAACCATGAAGAAAAAGCTAAACTTCGTGAAAATCGGATGAGATTTGACCGAGTTATGGGGGTGGTAAATTTTGACCCATGTCTATATACGAATCTTGGGGTAAGATTTGGACATGAATTTCGACCAAAAAATCGATGTTCAGATTTGAATGCCAGATTAATCTAGAGGGAAAACCCTGAAGAAAAAGGCAAACTTCATGGAAATCGGATGCGATTTAACCGAGTTATCGGGGTGGTAAATTTTGATCCATGTCTATATACGAATCTTGGGGTAAGATTTGGACATGAATTTCGACTAAAAAATCGGTGTTAAGATTTGAATGCCAGATTAATCTAGAGGGAAAACCATGAAGAAAACGCCAAACTTCGTGAAAATCGGATGAGATTTGGCCGAGTTATGGGGGTGGTACATTTTGACCCATGTCTATATACGAATCTTGGGGTAAGATTTGGACATGCATTTCGACTAAAAAATCGGTGTTCAGACTTGAATGCCAGATTAATCTAGAGGGAAAACCATCAAGAAAAAGCCAAACTTCGTGAAAATCGGATGAGATTTGACCGAGTTATGGGGGTGGTAAATTTTGACCCATGTCTATATACGAATCTTGGGGTAAGATTTGGACATGAATTTCGACCAAAAAATCAGTGGCGAGATTTGAATGCCAGATTAATCTAGAGGGAAAACCATGAAGAAAAAGCTAAACTTCGTGAAAATCGGATGAGATTTGACCGAGTTATGGGGGTGGTAAATTTTGACCCATGTCTATATACGAATCTTGGGGTAAGATTTGGACATGAATTCGACTAAAAATCGATGTTCAGATTTGAATGCCAGATTAATCTAGAGGGAAAACCATGAAGAAAAAGCTAAACTTCGTGAAAATCGGATGAGATTTGACCGAGTTATGGGGGTGGTAAATTTTGACCCATGTCTATATACGAATCTTGGGGTAAGATTTGGACATGAATTTCGACCAAAAAATCGGTGTCGAGATTTGAATGCCACATTAATCTAGAGGGAAAACCATGAAGAAAAAGCTAAACTTCGTGAAAATCGGATGAGATTTGACCGAGTTATGGGGGTGGTAAATTTTGACCCATGTCTATATACGAATCTTAGGGTAAGATTTAGACATGAATTTCGACCAAAAAATCGGTGTCGAGATTTGAATGCCACATTAATCTAGAGGGAAAACCATGAAGAAAAGGCCAAACTTCGTGAAAATCGGATGAGATTTGACCGAGTTATGGAGGTGGTAAATTTTGACCCATGTCTATATACGAATCTTTGGGTAATTTTGGACATGGATTTCGACTAAAAAATCGTTGTTCAGATTTGAATGCCAGATTAATCTAGGAAAAATCCTGTATCATATATATATTCTATTTTAGAAGCTATATGTCAAGTTCTTATTATTTACCAAAATTGCCCAAAAAACAGGATATCGGTATTATCGATATCGATTATCCACATTATGATGATTGCCTGAACCAAACCTTAACTCCGGTTTAGTTGGATAAAGAAGAGCCCTGCCTAGAGCGAAACCTGGACCGTACCATATTTGCAATAGCAAAAGTGAAATATCTTAACATAAAAAACTGTTTTTAATAAATAAAAACATGTAAATATAATTAAATTAATTTTTAATTAATTAAATTGCATTGCCAAAGTAGTATAAGGCATATTTATTTTCAAATTATTAACATACCCAACATAATTATCGAATATAATGCATTTAACACAAGATACACTCACACACACACATACATTCACAAACACAACACAGCATGAAACATGACACTATTTTATTATTCTTATTATTAATATTACTGCTATTATCATGCATTAAGAACAAACAAAAGCTATGACAAACAAAGGCAATCAATCGCGCTCTCGACTCCATACGTACGCACAAGCACACACACACTCACACACACTTGTTGTCTGTCTGCCTGGATGTGTGTGTGCGTGCGTGTGCTTCGGTGCGTGCGTGCATGCGTATGTACATATGTATGCGTTTTATGGCATATATTTTATTTATAGCAACGAGAGGCAGGCGACGGCGGGCAGTTTGTGGGCGTAATAGCTGTGCGTGCCTCGTTAGACTAATACACACACAAACACAAACTCACACACACACACACACACACACACACACACACACACACACACACACACACACACACAAACAAAACCACTGACAACTATGTAAGCAGCAGTGAAAAATCTGTAGCATACTTTCCGGAGGGGCGCGCATCGCAATGATGTTTTTTCCTTTTAACTACTCAATTAGCAGACGCACACACTCATACACACACACAACCACATACACACACACACACCCACACTCAACAACCCCTGCAATTGCTTGCTGTGATTTCTCTAGCTCTCGCCCTCTCTTCTCTTTTCTTCTCTTTCTCTCTCTCTCTCTTTCTCTGTCTCTCTCGCTAGCAATGCCTTCTGTTCTCAAGGCCTTGCCTTGGCACCTGCCATTGGCATTGACAGAGGCAACCAGACCCACAACGAGACCCAGACCCGTAGCTCAGGCCCACGCCCACGCCAACGCCCCCGCCGACGCCCACATCCAGGCCCGCAACCGGCACTGACCAGGACATAGGGGACAGCTAGTAGCATCGATAGATGCCTTATTTGGTTGCCTTCAGCGCATGTCTATTGATTATTTCCATTCATTTTAGCTGCTAGATTATTATTCTATTTCTTGTTGCCCAAGCTTATATTAATTCCTGCCCTTGACCAGGGCCAACAGACACGCACACAAACTTGTTGGCCAACTAGATGAGCTCTGAGCATTTAATGATGATGTCCGGTTATCGTTTTGCCAAAAATCGCAACAAGAGGCTGCATCATGTTTTGCATTCAGCTTCATTCATCCTTTCAGTCTGGGCAAAATGGTTGCCAAGGAATTATGCACAAGTCAGAAGAAGCTTGAAGCGCACTCAACATCAACAATGCTTCAAATTAACAATCCATCCAAATAGGATTAGGACCTGGATGCAAACTAACACAGCTTTTTTAAAGCACTAGTTACCAGGTACGCCCAACAGCCGCCCACTAGCCTTGGATTCGAACCGTTATCTGCCTTGTTCAGCTGCCTGAACGACTCAGAGAAAACTATAAATTCAAATGTTTTTCAGAAGTTTTCCTCATCATTTCTTGTTAAACTTGTAAATATACTCTTGAACAGTATCAATAGCCAAGTCGCAAATCTGTTTGTGCAATCTAATTCCTGCTTCTTTGACATGTATTTGGCTCCTTTTCCTTTTCATATTAAATTCATGAATAATTTATTATATTGAACTCAGCTTGACATTTACAATGATATTACGTTTGCAACTGCCAAAAAGAGATACCAATTATATGACTAGACTTTTTATTACATTCAGCATTTCGAGCGAGTTAAGAAGTAAATCTCTTTAATTGCACCAACTATAATCAGAGTCCATATTCCAGCCTCCTTAGAGCTTTAACGAAGCATACACTTGTCAATTATATGAATGCTAGCAGAAATTCCCCGGCCTAGCCCGTTCATATTTTAGATATAACCTTTTCACGCATTTCCCACTCGTGGAAAATATAAATTTATTCGTACTATCATAAGTTTCGTTTAATATAAATATAACTTTCTCTCAAATTAACTTTCTTAAAGATCGTCAACGAGTGGAAACGTGTGAAACACTTTCACGAAGATCCTTGGATATGAGCTTAAGCGCGAAACATCACCCCCATTTCCACGAAAGGGGAATGGTTTTGGCAGAAAGTGTGGAAACACTTCTCAAATGAATAACCGATCGGAAAGTGAGCAACGAAAAAGTTGTGATATTCCCTTCTGTCGCGATTTTCCTGCACTTTGCCAGAATCTTGCCTTGAAGGACATTAGCTAACTTCAGTACAAATTGAAGCTTCCCATTTTCTTACGGCTTGTACTGTGCCTTACTTTTACTCTTCCCAGTTCTAAGAAACACACAGAGATAAACTCAGAATTCACACGTAATACGTTGCAGTAAGTTTGGGCCTTTAATTTTCATTTTGATTTTCAATTACATGCGACTTTCCAATCAATTATGCGAAAAGTTATTTAAAACCTTTTGTCGGTAAGACGTAATGTTCGACAATTTTCAGTGAAATGTCACAGACAATATCAATAAGAGAAAATTGTGAAACTGGCAAAAAGTGCGTCAATTGCACAAATATAAACTCTGTATTCACATTAAACACCCACGTGAGCATACAACAGCGTAGTTGAACCGGCTTTGGGTTTCTGCGTCATTTTCTGTGTGCGTCAAATGTGACCCAAATGTCTTTCAGCTCTCAGATTTCAAAGGGTCCGGGATTTGTTGATGCTAAAATTGTCTGGGTATTTACGCACATGCACATATTACGCAAATGCTCATAATTTGATGGTCGGATGCACAACACGCTGTGCACAAGTATTTTTAATCTGTCACTAAGCCAAATGCGTGCGTTTTTAGTCTTTAAATGTGTACATTGAATAATGGTGAAAGGAAATGGATAACTTTCCAGCAATATTATCTGTATTTTGCATGAATTCAAATATATAATCGCTTTTCCTTACAACGGCAACTCAGAAGGCATAGGAAAGGGATAGGAAAGCGATATTATCGGACTCTTCTAGTACATTGTATTCGAATGCAACATTAATAAATATGTTGTTGCCGTCGATCTTATTTATTATATTTTTGTTCATCTTAACTTACCTTCTCAATGTTGTACTTCTCGAGGGCTTGAGTCGCGCAATCGACAGCATCCTGCTGCATCTCCTCGCTCATATCAGCATTCTTAATGACAGCTTTGCGATCAGACATCTTTGCGTGCTTGTTTTACTGATGTAGTTCTCTTGAAAGGGCTTTCTTTGCGTCTGCAATTAAAAAGAAGAACAGAAATTGCACTCTGTGTGGGTAGTGCAAGTATTTCAGATTTCATTAGTCCAGTGTTGCATACATTTTGGGGCAGAGGGGGTCAGGTAAGGAAACTGCGTTCATTAAGCTGTGCACTTCAACAGACACACGGCAACATCACGCAACAGTGGCTGTCATTGTAATCAAATTCTTAATAAAGTTATGGACAGACATACACACACACACACACGCGCTCGCACGCAAGACATAGAGACGAAAACGGGCACACATGCACACATGACGCACGCGCAGTTTTCCATAAAGCACTGCATACTTTTGTGGGCGGGCGACAATGCGCAACGCTGGCAATTTAATTATGAACGACAACAGCGCTACAACATTGCAAATCAAATATCAAGAGGAGCAGACCAAGAGCTCTGGACAACGACAGCAGCAGCCGCAACCGCAGCCAAGGCAGAAACAGCGCAGAACAAAACACGTATTAATGAGCAGAAGACAACCCCCTCCCACCACCCAAACACACACACACGCACACACACACACAAACATCAATTAGCAACGAATGAGTGAAGAGCAGCAGCAGCAGCAACAGTGCGAGATGCGCAACGAATGCTGCGATAACAGATTGTGGGCCAGTAAGAGCACATACCATGGCCTTGGCAACTGCTGCTGCAGCCAAGGACAAAGAGAGAGAGAGAGAGGGTGAGCGAGAGAGAGAGAGACAGCGAGAGAGGAAGAGAGAGAGAGAGCAAGAGCAAAGCCGACTATTGCTAATTCAAATTCAATGCAACGGCAAAAACTGAATATTGCATGAGCTATGCTCGTGATGTTGTTATTGCTGTTCGTTGGTGTTATTAGTATTGTTGTTGTTGTTGTTGCTGCTGTTGTTGTTGTTGCTGTTGTGTTGTTATTGTTGCTGTTTTTCCTGTTATTGTTTGTTTTGTTCCTCCGTATTGTGTAGGATTATAAGCCAGCATCCATGGTAAAACAACGTAAACAAAAACAAAAATGCAATTTCCCAATGCGCCAACATGCAGCAAAATAACCATGTTATTAACCAAAAACCTATTAAAACTAGAGCTACGCGAAGAACTAGAACATAATCATATTGCATGCCCCTTTTAATTGCGTTGATGCGATCTAACACAAACAATATTATAGAACTCGAAAGGATACGGGTGAAATTTGAGCTTAGAACTGACGCCTTCGAATCTCTATATATAAAAATGTTTGTCCCGAATGACTTGGTTCTCTATTCGATGCACTGACTGACTGACTGACTGAATGAATGAATAAATGACTAACTGACTGACTGACTGACTGAATGGATGAATAAATGACTGACTGACTGACTGTCTGACTGACTGTCTGACTGACTGACTGACTAAATGAATGAATGAATAAATGACTGACTGGCTGAATAACTGACTGAATGACTGACTGATTGACCGACTGACGGACGGACTGACTGACTGACTGAATGAATAAATGTATGAATAAATGACGGACTGACTGACTGACTGAATGTATGAATAAATGACTGACTGACTGATTGACTGACTGACTGACTGAATGAATGAATGAATGACTGACTAACTGACTGAAAGAATGAATGTATGAATAAATGACTGACTGACTGACTGAATGTACGAATAAATGACTGACTGACTGACTGATTGATTGATTGACTGACTGACTGACTGACTGACTGAATGACGATTACTGATCAACGCACAGCACAAGCCGTAAGATCTTCAAAGCTGTAATTCGTACTGATAGGAAGCTTCCATTCCTTACTTAAATCTCAACCTCAAAGATTGTATGCAAAAACCCTTAAAACAATAAACTTAGCCAAATTATTTTGGTTTTTGTTTTATTTTATTGTTTTGCCATTTACAAGCATATCATATGTATTTCAGGCAAGACCAAATCAGTCGATTCAGAAAAGTAATTGGCAAAGCGCAGAGTTGAGGGTTTTACCTTACAAAAAGACAGAATATTTGTCCTAATTCACAACAAACAGAAATGTTTTCTTTTGAGCAATTGAGCAAAACTAATCAAAGCAATAAGAGCTGTAATGAGGAGCCAATGTGGAATATGTTAAATATGTTAGCTATCGATGTGATGCACATATTAGCGGACATGCCAACGTGAATGCGTAGACAGGAGTAGAAGCCTACTTTTAAAAATTGACAATATACTCGAAACATTTGCGAAACCAACTATGATAGAATGCGAATAGAAAGGCTTCGGGAAATCAAATATTGAAATATATATATATCTCATAGAGTCCTGTGCATCGATATTTTTGATCCTTCATGTTGCGACACACGCTTCCATTTCGAATTGCAATCAAGCGGATACTGCTCCATAACTTCACTCCAATTATTTATATGTTATTTGTGTCTGCTCATGTGTGTTGCCATATGCCACAATTGATTTTTGTGCTTCTGTACTATTCTGCAGAATAGCCAATCTACTGTGCTTGTCAAACTGATTATGGTTAATGCAATGCGCTAATTGAATTTTAGCCCACTTGACTGGGTCACATTGATCGAATCATGTTGCCAATTCACGTGAATGTTTGGACCAACTGGCATGCTTATGTTTGAGCCATATATGCTCCTGTTTAAAGCTTCTATCAACTACTCCAGGAATATAAAAGATGGGAGCAGTAAAGTGTTGTGAAACTTATTAAGCTGCAGACCTTAAAGGAAGCTCGACAGTAGTACAACCACCTGCAAAGCTCGAAACGGCGACGAGTTCTTAAGCCAATTTATACTTATATTTATAGAAACTGGATTAAAGCTACTTTGAATTCATAATTCTGACGTTGTTTGCTTGTCTCCCGTTTATTTTAATTTCGGATTTTCCCACCCAGCGACCAACAACAAGCTATTTGAATTCTCAACCAACTGCGTAAGCTTTTCATAAAAAGGCCAGTTGGTAAAAATAGATGGTCACGTATTTTGCCAGAAACGGACTTATGCAAAAGTTATCCCGATGTGGAAGCGTCTTCATGGAACCCCCCCAATTTCTTTTGAATCCAGCCGAGATCTCTGAGAGAGCACAGTCTGAAGTTCATCAGATGAAGTACAAGCCTGGATAGTTAGCAGCCAAATGTCAGTTGACCTTTTTGCTGTTATCGCATTTTATTATATTTAATTCTTATTTAAATAAATTACCTGTCTGTCTGTTAAGCGGAAAATGTATTTTGGTAAAAATATAACCGAACGTGACAACAAATGTGCACAATTCGCATTTGCAGTCATTTTGTTCGTTGACAATTAAGATTGGCTGTCACAGTGCACTTAAATAAAGGCATTTTATGGCAATTAATTAATTAAATTGAACTTTTCAAAACAAAAAACCAAATAATTTACCTTTTTGCCCCTCAGCTTCCATATAGTTTTCTAGTTGAATGCAAATGAGAGATGCCAAATTAATGGAGGGACAAAAAAAGAGCAGGCGGAAATGTTGCTAATAGTTTGCTGACTAACGAACTAACTGACTCATTGACAGCGCGGAGACAGGTTGGACAGGTGGGAAAGGGGGTGGGGGAGCGGTAAGAGAGTAGGTCAACTATGAAATGTAAAAAGTCGGCACACACACACACACACAGACACACACTCGCATACAAAGAGGCAAATTTGCCTTTGCCCATCCTCGCATTCTCGCCTTTTTCTCCTGCCATAATAAATTCATGGAAATTCATTTACGCGCAAAAAGGATGCAGCAATTGGCAGGCAGGAGGCAGCATTATGCAGCATGCAACAATGTGAGGCAAATGACGTAGACAGCCACAAGGCAGCAGAAAGCAGAGACAATGTGAGGGGGGTGGGCGGATGGGGGATGGGGGGGAATGGCAGCTCTCCTGATTAAGTCAATTAGAAATGCATTGAGAGTTGGACAAACGGAGACAGCTTGTTGATTACAAAGAGCGACAGCCAAATCGAAGTGCAATCTACGTAAACTGATCTGTGTGCGTGTGTGTGAGTGTACGTAATTGCATTTATGTGCGCGCATCAAATGACAGCTGTGCGTGTGTGTGTGTGTGTGCAGTCCCCCAACAAAGTATGCTACGAATTAATAAACAGACATCGTTACGAAATGCTGCAAATGCATGTCTGCTTATGTACATGCATTTTTCCAATTATCAGGTTTTCCCTGAAAATGAAGCTGTATTTAATTAACAATATTGCAATCTATACATTTTCTCATAACACCGACTTACGTAAGCCAATCGAGGGGAGAAGACACGGCAGGGAATTCTTTCGTATCTAAATAAAGTGAAATATCATATTTCGTCATATTTCAAAACTAATATCGATCGATTAATAAACATCGCCTATCGCATACCCTTGCCAATGATATTCTAATTAATTGACGAACTGTGAAAGCAAAGTAGATATCATTTCCAAATCCTTAATATATGAAGTATGCATATATTATCTTGATCATGATGACAACTCAAGTTGTCTGTCCGTCTTCATCTCATATCGTCAAAAAACATAGCTTGTGATCGTTTAGAAACGATATAAAGTCATTTTCTGCTTTAAAAACTAGTTTTTAGCTCTAATACTAGAATAATTGTATTTAGTTAAATACTGACATTTGGATTTGGAAAGATCAAATTTCCGTTAAGCTGGCAGGAGTTGGTAGAATTAGAAGGAGAGGGCCATATGCTTCCAGCTTAGTGCTCAATTTGACAACTGTGTGTGGGTGTACATTTGTGTGTGTGTGTGTGTGTGTGTGTGTGTGTGTGTGTGTGTGTGTGTGAGTCGCACTCCCACGACAATCAAGTTATCAAATCGGTTTGCTACAAAAGCTCTCAGCTCCATAATTACCTCTCAAGGCATGCTCGTAAATAAATGGTCAGATTTGGTAAAGAAAAAGCTTAAATATCTAAATCTGAAATAACAAATGACGTCAACTCGAAAACGGGCCTTTTATTTGATAATAAGCTACACACAATAGAGTTTAATGCGAATGCAACACTGATTCGATTCCTTTCTATTATGTTTTCGACTTTGCTTTATACTATTTCTGAATAGAAATAGTATAAAGCAAAGTCGAAAACATAATAGAAAGGAATCGAATCAGTGTTGAGTCAGTTTCTTGTTTTTTTTTTTTTGTTATTTTAAATATAGAATAGTGTTGAGTAGTGGCATAATAGAAGCGTATGAAAAGTAGTCGAAATGAGACCTGCTCCAAACAACATTTGGCCAATTGCGTGTTTTCGGCTTTAAATAGTGTTGTGTAGTGTCAACCTGCTGGCGCCATCTCTGGCTCCGGCCGGAAACTTATGCACCCAGATCCGAGCCCTTTCCCAAACAATCCATCATGCACTCACACGTACACACAATCATGCATATGCAAGTATGTCAAATTATTGCACAACTTAACTTAGAACTTTTCTCACGCGTCGAAACAATTCACTTACCTTAGTTATTGTTGTAAAGTAGCCGTTGTCTTTGGGAAGTTGCGCGCAATCATTTGCCGTATGCCAAGGCAAAAAGTTTTTTTTTCTATGCTTTTGGCGGCCTGGTAGCTAATTCAACAGCTGTTTACTAATTAAAGTAAATTTTCGAATTATCTCAGATAAAAAATGCGCAAAAAAAAATCTGTCCTAACCCATCAAACTGAATGCCGAATAGGAATGTGTGAGTATGTGTTTGTATGTGTGTGCGTGTGTGTGCTCGTGTGTGTGCATGTGTATGTATAATTTCCTTTTTGGCAATTTTGCACGCAATACAAATTTGGCACGCCGCGTTAAGCACTTAAGAACAAAAACAGGAACTTTAACAAAAATTAACAAAATATTATTGGCACACGAAAAGACTAAAAGGTGTGCTAGTTAATAAGAACATTTGTGTTTACCGCTAAGCGCACTCGTCGTGACTAAACTTCAAAAAACACTTTAGGTTGGGAACGCACTCTGTTGCGAGCTGCTTGCTTGCCTGTGTTGAACTGTTTCGATCGAATTGCAGCCGACAGACGCAGAGGTGCCCAAATGCCATCAGTGTAGGCGACATGCGAATTAGCTCAACGCTGATTGGCTGATCTTTGGCGGCGTCTGGCAGGCCGCTTCTGGCAGGCTGCGTCTGGCAGCAGTGTTGAAGATATTTGTAACGAATATTAACCATTTAACAAGTACTTTTCAAGTAGTTTTCAAAACTTATTTAAGTTTTAACGCACCAATGTGTATATAAACTCTAACTTATATATATTGTTTCATTAAAAAATGTGCAATACTTTCATATAATTGTATTTATATTGAAAAAACCTGTTTTGTGTCAAGTAATTGGTATCTGATAATGAGTAACTACCGAGTACAATTACACGCAGCATCACAATTAACTTCGAAACTAACAGAGTTGCATTTGACGGCAACAAATTAAAGCGCGCTAATCGCAAAATTCAAACTGATAGAAGGATTTGAAGATATATAATTATTATCTGACGACTTTACCATACGCACTTAATGTCTTTGGCATTGCCGCGTACTAAAATACTTTTAGCTAACAGATAGTATTAAAATGTGAAAAAAACTACAAACATTCCAAAAATTATCGACAACGGTGCTGTGCAACACTGCAATCAAAAGCAGTACTCGATAGCAAAATTTTAAAATAAATGAATAAAATGAAATATGAATACAATTACTAAGCTGAAAGATTGACTGTTGATTTAAATATTGGATTCATAGAAAAATAAAAAAACCTTTTTTTATTCATATTATATAACACTTCTATACCATTCTAATTTATTCTGACCACTTGGCGATGAAGAAATGTTATTTAGGCATTGGCATTCACACTTGTAGTGTACATACATATGTAGACACACATGTAAAAACACATGCACAAGCAATATAAAGAAAAACTGACACATCAGATTTAGGGTTGCTCACGCTATCGGCTATCGCTTGGACGTGTTGCCCTCTAGCTCCGATTAAACCGCCTAACCTGAGCACAAGAAAAAAAACGCATATTCAAATGTCCAATTTCCTATTACTTTGCCCGCCCGTAATATTGACCCATGTACATTGTATAAATATTAAATATTTATTTTTAAAACAAGTGCATCCTTAGTCGTTAGTATATGCAGTTTTATATATACTTGTACATATCTACAAAATGTTATACCTACCATGTGTGCATGGCCTGACATTAAAATTGGAAATTTTCATTTGTTCCCTTTACAATGGCTGAAGCGAAAGCAACTTGATGACGAGCGGTTGTAGCGAACAACAGACATACGAAGCATAAGTGCGAGCAGGACCACTATTGTCTGCTTGCTGCTATTAGTGTCAGCTATTAGTACATACATAAGCTGCTTGTGTGAGTGTGGGATAAAACCAGCAAGGCAGCGACAACTTACAAGAGCATTGAAGCGCGCGCTGCCGATGACTAATATTTCAGGGCTGCCAGATAGGGGCAGAGATTGTGTTTATGCAGGGTGTGGCCGTTAGTTAGCATTTCTTTGATTTTTTAAAATGGACCTACCTGAAGAATTAATTAATATTCGAATATTTTTGTAGCTGTAAAATTTTTTTCAATAAAGACAATTTTTTAGTCTTAAATACATATATACACACATAGACATAAGTATTGTATTGTGCTGACTTACACAGCTGTATATATGGGAATACATACATGTATGTAGGCATAGCTATGGAATATTTAAAAAAAAAAAGGTTATATTTTTGTAATAGTGCCCAAATATTTTAATCAGTGTAAAAATTATTATTCGCATATGCTAGTGACATGAATGCACTTCGAACTTAGAAGCAACGCGCCAATTTCTGTTGGGGGGTTACGCAAACCTGTCAAAGGCATAGGATCTCGCCTCTGCACCGCAACCCTGTGTATGTCTACTAAGCAATTTCACAATTGTTTCTCTCAGCACGTCTGGCAACCCAGGCAACACAGCAACTCAATTGCCCGACCGTTTGTTCGCATACATGCTTACATACATATATACGAACGGATGTATGTATGTATGTACACGTTTATATACCGTATGAGCATGCGTGTGTGTATTTGTGTGCCAGAGTGGCCTGCCTGCCCTGCTTGTTTAGCGCCCGCTTATTTTGTGAGTTGGCAGCACAAACAAGTCGCAGCGCGCTGTTCAGTTGTTTTTTCCCCGTCAAACTTACGCTACTGCTACAACTCTGCTGCTCTCTGTTCGTTCGTTCGCTTGCTTTCTATTTGATTTCGTTTTTGTGTTATTAACAATTTGCTGTTGTGTGTGTGTGTACGTGCTTATTTCGAAAATTATTCTAATGAAAATGCTCGACGACAAGAACTGCAGATTTAAAAAGAAAGAGTGCTGCTGCAACGGCTTTAAGAGCAACAACAACAACAAAATCGACGAAAACTATACAATTTGAAAAAGAGGCTGCAAACGAGTTTTGTTTGCGTTCGCAAAGCGCGCGCATAATCTGAGTTTCCATCAAGGTGAAACTGCAACTGGCATTGACTGCTTATTTTCCCATCATTTTACACCAATTAAGAATCAAAAACAATCATAGGGGAAGTGGGAAAAACACAAGCAGCAGCAAACGGTAAAAATTGGCGGCGATTTCCAATACAAAAATCAAAATACCAACAAAAAACAGAAAGAAGAAGGCAAGCTGCCACACACAGACCCAGAGCGACCAACGTAAATACTATAAAAACCCACACACACATATACATATGTATACACATCCAGCGTAGACAAACAAAGGTCGAAACAGTTGTGCGCTCGCTTGCACACACTTTGCTACCAATTGACGTCGGAGCGAGACGGCGTAGATAGCAGTCAATATTGGGAGTGCGAGTGCCAAATGTCACATGAAATTACAACACTGCTGTGAAAGACGAAAGCAACAACAGCAATCAGCGCTAAGCTAGCAAGAAGAAGCAGCAACATAAACAAAACCAAAACAAGTACAAAACGGGCGCCGGCTACAACCAGCCCCCCACCTTCCTTCCCCTAAATGCAAAAATGCTGCCCAGCATGCAGACAACAACAAACAGATATCAAATGGAAACAGAACGGGATGTTGCCCATGTGGAATACGATGTTATAAATTACTACACAGATGCGAATCCGAATCCGGATACAGCAGCAGTAGCTGCCGTGACCGAGCAACGTTGCTCCCGGGTCAACAACGGCAACACATTGCTTGATGTTGTTGTTCACTCGAGACCAACGCGCGACAGTTTTAAAACTGTTGGCCAACTGGAGGTTCCTTTGGCCACACCTACAGCAACAACAAGCAGTAACAGTACCAGCTCAACACCCCCGATGCGCACCAAAGGTGGCGGCAATAGCGGCAGTAGGCAGCGCAGCAAGGAGAGCACCGCTGCCACTGCCACGCCTACATTAGGCGTCAATATGCGTGTGACCGGGCAGTGCAGTCAGGGTGGTCGTAAATATATGGAGGATCAATTCTCAGTTGCGTATCAGGAATCGCCTCTGACGCATGAGCTGGAATACGCATTCTTTGGCATCTATGACGGCCATGGTGGTACAGAGGCGGCGCTCTACGCCAAGGAGCATCTCATGCTGGAGATTGTTAAGCAAAAGCTGTTCTGGTCCGATAACGATGAGGATGTGTTGCGTGCAATTCGCGAAGGCTACATTGGCACACATTTTGCCATGTGGCGGGAGCAAGGTGAGTGAGCGAGTCAGCTATATGAACAGCTATTGTACAAAGCACTCAAGAAAAATAATCGCTTATCGATTGGCCCTGTTGGCAGCGAGTGGAATATTCCATAGGCTTGCCATCTGCTTGCAATATGACGTATGTTGGCAACCCCGCTGTTTCTGCTTATTACGGCCATAAGTTAGAGCGAGTTAGCAATACTCTTCAACACAGATAGCATCGCAGCAAGTGTGCACATAAAGAAGGTTGTATTCGTATTTTGGTGTTATTTTGACTTGACGTCACAAAAAGAAATATACGTTATAATTAACAATGATCAAAATCATTAAAAGCGAAAACCAACGCTAGTGATATTATATTTATTAAAAGTGTGGTAATAATCAATAAAATAAACATATATATTCATGTATAAAATACCGTAATAGACTTTTGCTTAGCGCGATTAATCGATATACTTAAATTTTTAAATTGTTATCGCTGCAAACTTAATATTATATGGTATTCATTGTATACTATTTATTTATTCCATTTTAGATAAATGGCCACGCACGGCTAATGGGCATCTGAGCACCGCCGGCACCACAGCAACGGTGGCTTTTATGCGCCGCGAAAAGATTTACATTGGTCATGTGGGCGACTCGGGCATTGTGCTGGGCTATCAGAATCCCGGCGAGCGACGCTGGCGCGCCAAACAGTTGACAACGGACCATAAGCCCGAATCCCTGGCCGAGAAGTCGCGTATACAGCGTTCCGGCGGCCAGGTGGCCATCAAGTCTGGTGTGCCGCGCGTAGTCTGGAATCGTCCCAGAGATCCGCTGCATCGCGGGCCCATCAAGCGTCGCACACTTGTCGATGATATACCCTTTCTGGCTGTGGCACGTTCCTTGGGCGATCTCTGGAGCTACAACTCGCGCTGCAAGGAGTTTGTTGTTAGCCCCGATCCGGATGTTAAAGTGGTCAAAATTGATCCCAATACGTTCAGGTGTGTGACTCTTTAGGGACTGATGGGGAATTCAGATTGGGTTAACATTGATAAAAGCTTAAATGTTGCTCTTTAGGTCTTGAGTAAAAAAAAAAAAAACAATGCGTTAATTTAGCTAATCGTAAAAATGTCTTTTTAGATGCCTTATTTTTGGCACGGATGGCCTGTGGAATGTGGTGACGCCGCAGGAGGCGGTCGACTCAGTGCGCGAGAAGCACATTATTGGCGAGTGTCTGCATGAGCAGGACGTTATGAATCCTAGCAAGGCGCTGGTCGACAAGGCCCTCAAGACCTGGGCCACCAAAAAGATGCGTGCGGACAACACATCCGTTGTAACTGTGATACTGACGCCGGCGGCAGCGACAACAACTTCAGGTGCCGCCAGCAGCAGCGATTTGTTGGAGCTGGAACCGTCGGATACGGAGAACAATTATCCCGCCAGCTTGGTGGAGCTGGAGCATGAAGAACTCAGCTTGGAGCTGTGCGGCCACATTGAAGAGAAGGAGTATTTCCATGACACGCCCTACAGTGCCTTGGCCAAACGGCATTTGCCGCCGGAGCCGTATCGAAATTTCGACTATTATATTGAGGAGGAGCTGTTAGAGGAAGTGGTCGAGGAGGAGGAGCATGAGGAGGAAGAGGAGGAGGAGGAAGAGGAGGAGCAGGAGGAGGACGAAATCGACGACGATTTGGTACAGCAGAGCAAATACTGGCGCAAATCTTTGCAACAATCAATTGCCAGCTGGCAGCAAACGTCAACGATACGACAACGTCGCACGGAAATCGATGTGGAGATGCAAGAATCCGAAGACGTTGTCGAGCCGGCAGCGGAGCCCACACTCGAGCTATACAACAGCAACAACAGTTGCAGCAGCAGCGAATTGTGCGCATTGCAGCAACAGCACCTGGAGCACAGCTATGATAGCTATGTTAGCAACGCGGCGGTCAGCGCGAGCACCGAATATAGCTTCGCCGAGTCGTATAACACGCTGCTAAACGAGCAGCAGGCGGCGCAGCAACAGCAGCAGCAGCAGCAACAACAGTTACAGCGACAGCACCAGCATCAGCAACAGCCGCTGGTGGAGCAGCAGCAGCAGCAGCAACAGCACCATCACCACCAGCAGCAGCAACAGGAGCAGGAGCAGCAGCTGTTGAATAGTACGCGCACCATGCAGGAGATATTGCAGGAGCAGCAGCGTTACCAGCAGCAGGAGGGCTACTCGCTAACACAGCTGGAGACGAGACGCGAGCAACAGCAGCAGCTGCAGCAGCAACAACAGCAGCAACAGCAGCAACAGGTTGCGCATAGCAATAGATGGCAACTGGAGCAACAGCAGCATCAAGCGTCGTATGTGGAGCAGCCGGCAGAGCTGCTGGCGCTTAATGCGCTGCTGCAGCAGGAGCGCGATGAGGAACAGCAGGTGGCACTGGAACGGGAGCAACAGCAGCAGCAACAGCAACAGCAACTGCTGCTGGTTGAGGCCAGCTCCAGTTCCAATTCCAGCTGCAGCTCCTCCAGCTGTTCCAGCCAGTCTGCGTTTGTCTATGCACCGCCCTGGACCGAGCCGAGTGTGGACACGCTGCAGGACAATGAGGTGAGCTCCACGTTGCCAGCCACGCCCACGCCTACGCCTACGCCTGTGCCAATGCACAGCGGCAGTGCGGAAGAGCAGTTGCTGCAGTTGGAGATTAGTGAGCAACCGTTGCCGGCGCCATTACAGCAGCAACAGTTGCCGGCGCCCTTGCAGCAGCAACAGCTGCCGGCCATGCAGCCCCGGATCCGACGAACAATGCGTCGCTATCGCAATGTGCCCAACGAGAATCACCAACACATGCAAACACGACGCCGGCAGCTTTTCAAGCACAGCAAAAGCAAGTCCTTTATTGGCGCCAGCGCGGCTGCCATTGTTGCCTATGCCAACAGCAGCAGCAGCAGCGAGGCATTGCCCAGCGGCAGCAGCAACAGCAGCATTAACAGTGGCAGCAACGGCAACATTAACATTAACAGCAGCGGTAGTAGCGCCAGCGTCGGCGTCGGCGGTAGCAGCAGCAGCAGCAGAAGCAACCGGCGGCGTAGCGTCAACAGCGGCAGCAGCGTTATGATGACGCGTCGCAGTCACAGCTTGAGTTTGGCCAGCAGCGGCGTTAGCAAGCGGCAGCTGCGCAGCACCATTTGTCAACTGAGCAGCTTAGATATGACAAAGCGGACGCTGCGCACGCGTAATGCGCCGCCAGCAGTTAGCAGCAGCAGCAGCAACAGCAACAACAATAATAATAACAATAAAAACAACAACCATGGCAACGGCAGCAACAACAACAACAACAGCAGCAACAACAACAACAACAGCAGCAACAACAATAATAATAGCAGCAACAACAACAACAAATCCAGTCACACATTTAACAAGCCGGCAACGCCAACATCTGCAACAACAGTTGGCGGCAGCGCGCGACGTCTGCGTCGCAGCAATGAGGAGCGCGAACAGCGACGCAGCCTACGACGCAGCACACTTAGCGCCAGCCAATTGGCCAGCAGCAGCAGCAACAGCAGCGGCGGCAGCGGCGGCGGCAGCGCCAGTAGTCAGTTTAGCAAGCCAACGCGACTGCAATCTTGCGGCGGTGGCATTGCAGCGCGTCCGCCGCCGTCGCCAAAGAAATTAAATGCGGTCGTGCCGACGCTTGCAATTGGAACGCGCGCCTATACAGCGGCTCTGGCGGCAGCAGCGGATTTGAGCAAGCGTTGGTCACTGCGCAGCAGCAGTAACAGCAGCAGCGGCAGCAATATCAGTAACGCTAATAGCAACAGCAACAATAACAGCCTGAACAGTAACACCGCGATGGCAACGCTTGTGTCGGCCATCAGCTGTTACAGTGCGCGCAGCCGAACAGCCGCAGCCACAGCCGCGGCCGCAGCAGCAACAGCAACAACAGCGACAACAACAACAACATCGCGACGGCGCTGAGAGCGATATCATGTTTAAGTTGAGTAAAAGTGAAGAGAGTAAATAATTAGTGAGTGGCGCTGCCAACGCGTTTCAAAATTTCAAGTACAAATGCTAAAATGAAACCTAAATAATTAGTTAGAAGATGTGACAAAGTGAAAGTAATTGCTAAAATTACATATGTTACTTTGTAACAAAACGAAATTGTAGGTGCACACACACACACACACATACACAGAGACACAGACACACAGACACAGTTACAGACAGAGAAGACACATCGCACATACTTAGATGTTGTACATAACAAACAAATACTTAAGCTACATAAACACATGCATAGACATACACAACATTTACACATATATACATGGATATATATATATATATATTTATAAAAGCATAAAAATTTATTGTATTAAGCGCTTAACATATGTGTATGCATGCATCAATACATATACATACATACATACATATATATATATATATATATATATATTTTGTAATTTTGCATTAAGACAGCAGGTTAAATCGATCATCGTTTATGTCCGCCGCGTTAAACAAAAGCTTTACCCGTTTGAACAATATTTGAAGCGAGCTCCTTCATTTTTCAACATCATGTAACGAATTAAGTTGTCGAAAGTATTTATTTATATAGTCTAGATGTGAGACGCTAATAACTATAAAACATTCATATTATTTTGAATTCACATTTCTTGCATTAAATTATGTGTAGTTTAGTTATAAATTATAGCAGTATATATATATTTGTCGTCTACTTTTTTTTTATGTCACTTTAAGCTTAATCGAATAAAAGATTAATATAGTGTATATCGATTTTTTTTTTCTTAAATTTATTGTAATTGTTACCAAGAAATGCAAATGCAACCAAATTTAATAAAAGAAAATATTTTGTATGAAATAAACACGATATTTTTATAAAAATATAAATGAGCTCGGCTTTAATTTGAAATGGTCGCTTGAATAACCGTTTGTGGCGCTCAACAAAGCAGAGCTACCATATGTGGCTCAGCAGCACAGTGGCAACTCTAATTAAAAGATATGCTCAAATTGTCGATATCGATAACATTGGTGCTGCAGACAAATTGCCTCCTTTCTAAGAAAATCAAATAAACAAATTCACTATCTCTCGTTCTTACCTCTCTCTCACACTCCTATAGCAGTGCCACAAGTGACAACAAACAGCAACAATATTCAAATGGACTTTACGCGCCAAACTCAAATCTGACTCTTCTGATTCGCTGTCAAACTGGCGACTCTGTGTGTGCAACTGCCTGTGTGTGTGTGTGTCTGTGAGTGTATATATGCGTATGTGTCTGGGTGCGCTTGAGTGGCAAACAAGGAATCGAAATCGTGTGCAAGCCAGGCAAAGCCGATACGACAGCAGCGACGACGACTGCGGCGCAACAACAAAAGTTCTAGCCATTTGCCGACAACTGTTAAACGTGTTCGTTTCTTTCTGCTGCGCGCTTGCCGCCCTTACAGCGTACGTACGTACAAATTTGGTTTTTGTTTTTTTTTTTTTTTTGGGCATATTTGTTTGTCTAGCAGTGTGACGACACATGTTTGTTATTTGTCTTAGTGCATATTTTGTTAATAACTTTGACTGTTACCCAAAAAAAAAACAATGTAAAAAAATTTGTTTGATTGTGTGTCTGTGTGTGTGTGTGTGTGTGCTTATTTGTTGCAGAGTGTAAACAAAACGGCGCAGCGCGTGTAACGTACCACAGTGCGTGTGTGGTTGCTGGCAAAGTCTAGCTCAAAATCTGTGCAATATGCTGTGTGCAAATTGACAGCTGTATGTGTGTGCACACTCACACAGCCATAAAGAGGCATTGTCAGTTTTCTTTAATTTTTTTTTTTTTGGCTAAGCGTGAGTTATTCTAGTCTTGAATCAAACTTAAAACTTTGCTGCTGCTGCTGAATCCAATTGGAGTTTCTTTATGACTGTGTTGCCGCCGAACCGTCTGTCTGTCTGTCTGTCTTTCTGTCTGTTTGTCTTGCTGTCTTTGCGCGCGTTATGCGTGTGTGTGTGTGTGTGTGTGTGTGTGTGTGTGTGTGAGCGCGTTTGTGTGTATTTTCCACCCCAGCAGCGTTTCGAAACGCGGCCACAGCTCGGCTCCCGGCTCGCAGTTTTGTGCGCAGCTTCCCTTGAGCCGGATTCCCAGTTCTTATTGTTCTTCATGTTCTTAGTGCTCTTGTTGTTGTTGTTGTTGTTGTTGCTACTATTTAGTTTCAACCCCCCTGGCAGCGTCTTAAAACGTGTTTCAAAATGGGTGGCTCACAGCTGTATGTTTTTGGGCTTTATCGTTGCTGCTGCTGTTTGCAGTTGTTGTTGTTGTCGTGGCGCGTTATCCTTGGCTGCGGCTGTGTGCGTGTTTTCGTCGTTAGTTATGACATCAACACACGCTTTGGCGCTGGGCCACACTTTCACACACACACACACATACACGCACCATACTGATGCATACATGCAAGTTGCGTTGCGAGCTTTGTCCTTTGCCCAAAGCTCGCGCTTGCCTGCCCTTCAGCTTCGGCGCTTGATTCGTGCTTACAGCCGCCGCCGCGGCGTACAGCGTTGCCATTGTTTCGCGTTTTTGTTTTTGCTTTGCTGTTGTTGTTGTTTTTGTAATTGTGTGCTGTGTAGTTCGGTTTTATGCCTGTGAGCGTGGCATTATAACTGTGTTTGTTGTTTTTGTCGTGGCTTGCTCTGCAATCATCTTGCAGTTGACGCTCAACATTAATTGCTATCGATTTTTTTTTTATTGTCCCTGTGCTGCTATCGGCTTGCACATACACACATATGCATATGGTTTATACATACATATGCATTCCAATATATTTCTCGCTTGATTCTAATTTTGTACGCTGCACGCGGCCCATTTGCATAGTGCTTTCAACTTTGGCTTATGTGCATCGATCCCCCTGCTGCTGCACTAATATTTACTCTCTTACTTTTCCCCAGCTCTCTTTCTTCGTCCCCTCTCTCACTCTCTCACACACACACACACACCTTGCCACCTTATGGCGCAACTTGAGAATCGATCATTTTCCAAAACTGAAAAAAAAACAAAATGCAGCGCACATTCGAAGGGAAAACTTTTTATGACGCCTTGGCCTAAAAATATCGCAAATACCGAAGATTTTGAGTTGGACTCGCAGCTGTTTTTGGATTTTGTTGGAAATATGACACTTATCCGAGTGTTCCACAAAAGATCATACTTTTCACATGGTTTTCCATTTCTGTGCTTTGAGAGAGCTCCACGGAATCTTACAGAGAGCAAGTCGCTTTAGCTGAACATGATCAGCAATTTTGTATGAATCTTACTCCCAATGTTAACTTCCGAAATTTCTTCATACATATATGTACATATGTATCTGTTTTGCCAACTAAATTTGGGTTTTATGGACAAATACTTGGTATTCTATTAATAAACGCATTAGCTTAGAAATTCATAAACAATTTTCTATAGCCTCTAGATATCTATAGATATTTATATATATATATATATATATATATATATATATATATATATATATATATATATATATAAAGTGTGTCTAAGAACAAATTTTCGTAAAGATCTTGGCAAATGAGCTTACGCCCGAAACTTCGCCCATTCGAATCTTCATATGCATTTATCATTTAAGAGGGGTGGATTTGGCGAAAAACGTGAAACACGTTCAATTTTCACAAGGATCTTTGACAATAAGCTTGAGGCTAATCTGAAGTAACTTTAAACTTCGCCCATACAACCTTTGACTATCATTTTTCATCCAGAAGAGGTGACTTTTGCATAAGATTCTTGAACATGAGTTTGAACCCAAAACCTGACCCAAATCTTTCACTGCCATTTCCACCGTTGAGCGATAAATAATCCGAAAAGTGTGAAACACCACTCAAATGAATTTGAACAAAGATCTTTGAAAATGAGCCTGAGACCGATTGGAAAGTTATCCAAAAAGTTTCGCGTTTTTTTTTTCACATTTTCGGGTGAAACTTACCAAAAGCCCGCCTTGGGCTGAAATATTCTATATTATAAAAATGTATTAAATACGGTTTCCGCACTTTATTGAAATTGTCAGAAGTTGGATTAATGTAGTATGAGAAAATTGTTGTAAAAAACTTGGCATGTGCCTGCAGAAAATAGTCCACAGCATTCGCCCTCTTTAAGGCGGAGAGCCCAACCTCACGGTTGCTGTTCGCTCAAGCGAGTTTTCACTGTACCATCCGTTAGTATAGACATATTGTTGTTGGCACATGAAGAGAGCTCTATCTATTTTTTTTTTTTATCGATTTGGCAATCTTCTACCACGTTTACTCCATCAAATGTTTTGCTGTCCCCAAGTCAGACATGAATACGAATCTATATTTTTATATATATGCATAGCCCATATAGCTGCCAGTTCGTATCGACTAGCGAACTTATGTTGAGATTTGTAAATCGTGCGTTTTATTTATAAAGTCCAACACGAACTCTTGCACTGAAGCTATGTCTAATCCAACCAAACTACTTGATTCTATAATTAAAACGCTGCGCAACTCTCGTCATCTTTAAGTTTAGAACATTTTTCCCAACTAAAACAAACGTCTGTCTCACCCTCTCTCTCTTCCTCCCTCCCTCTCTCTCTCTCTCTCTCTCTCTCTCTCTCTCTCTCTCTCTCTATCGTTCTTGGCCCTATATCATTTTATGGGCAGCCCCATGCCGTGTAGTGGAAGCTTCTTTCCGTTTATTTTTGGCTTGGCCATATTTATAGCTCCCGTTCCCTCTCTCTCACTCTCACTCTCTCTCCCTCTCCCTCTTGGGCTCGGCTCTAATGGAGTTTTCCTAGAGTGCGTATATCAAAGTTAGGTTCAATTACCTTTAAATGGATTATATAAACAAACACACGGGCACAAGATGGGCAACTGATATCAAACGGCGCATGCACCCAACACACACACACGCACACGCACACGCACACACACACGCAGGCGCGCAGATTAGGCAGACGTGCGTCTGATCCCAGTTCTCAGTTGCCCGTAGTCAGTAGCCAGTTTGCAGTTAGCTCCGTGCTGCCGTTTACTGTGCCAGAGAGGGGCGCAACGGCGACGTGCAACAACAACAACAACAACAACGAGAACAACAACAACAACAACACAAGATGCTGCCAAAAATAAATTTGAACTCAAATCGCGGCACAGGCGGGCAACTAGGCGAGGAAAAACGAATTCGAGTGCCAAGAAAAACCAACGCAATGAATTTTTTTCTTCTCCTACTCAACAGCCAGGCAAAAGCACAATCGAACCGCGCCGCACCGCACCGCATATGCATATGCATATATATATCTATCTATATGTATATATATAATAGCGTGCATATCTCTGCTTGCAACATGCCCCTGCCACAGGCCGCAGCCGCTGGCAGCTCCTGGGCCTGAGGCGCGCTCAAGTGCGCCAGAGAAATAATTCAAACGCTTTGCAGGCGCTCTTGCCACTTAGCGCGAGGGGCTTTGAGCTGCGCGGGGGTTGCTGTGGGGGTGGGCTGCGGCGGCAGGGTGGTTCGCTGCGAAGCCAGCCCTAAGTCCGTGGGCCCCCATGACGCAACGGCCTACGTGCCCATAAGCGGACGTGCCGACCTCATTAGTTTCGAGTTTCCCAAAAACAAAATTAAAACAAAAGCAAAAAAAAAAAAACAAACAATGTAAGGCAGGAAAATTTCTTTGTTTTTGTTTTTAATTTGTTCGAAAATGAAAAACTTGCACGCGTGTGCGTGTGCTCAGGGACCAGAAAGCTTCAACTCTAGCTAATATATATGTACGTATATAGAAACATTTACATTTACAAATAAAGCATCGAGCGATCTTCCTCGTTTGGCCCCGATCTCATCTCACATCTCTCATCTTGCGCCTCATGTCTGGTCTCCGTCTCTTGTCTCATCCGCGTCTATTTATAAAGTCGAAAATTGAGCATCAGCGTGCAAGTATTTCAGAGAGAGAAAGAGCAGAGAGAGCAGAGAGAGAGCGAGATCCAGAGATCGAGAGAGAGAGAGATCACCCAAGTTGGACCAAGTATAAAGTACAGTTGTGTGCTTACGTTTTAATTGATCAAAGTGAACCACCGATCGGTGCGTAAGGCAGATATATATATATATATATATATATATATATATATATATATATATATATATATATATATATATATATTGATTTACATATATATGTATATATATATATATATATATTTATATCTAGTCTATGAATCCTGGACTACAATGTGTCAATTAAGAGTTGAATATGTATATATATTGACTAGAATTTAGATTTAATAGAATCATTGATCCAATGATTGCTGGATAAAGCAGATATGGTATTTTGATCTATTCATATATCAAACATACAAGCAATACATACTTTGCATACTTTACATACTATACATACTATACATACTATACATACTATACATACTATACATACTATACATACTATACATACTATACATACTATACATACTATACATACTATACATACTATACATACTATACATACTATACATACTATACATACTATACATACTATACATACTATACATACTATACATACTATACATACTATACATACTGTACATACTATACATACTATACATACTATACATACTATACATACTATACATACTATACATACTATACATACTGTACATACTATACATACTATACATACTATACATACTATACATACTATACATACTTTACATACTATACATACTATACATACTATACATACTATACATACTATACATACTATACATACTATACATACTATACATACTATACATACTATACACACTATACACTATACATACTATACATACTATACATACTATACATACTATACATATTATACATACTATACATACTGTACATACTATACATACTATACATACTATACATACTATACATACTATACATACTATACATACTATACATACTATACCTACTATACATACTATACATACTATACATACTATACATACTATACATACTATACATACTATACATACTATACATACTGTACATACTATACATACTATACATACTATACATACTATACATACTATACATACTATACATACTATACATACTATACATACTATACATACTATACATACTATACATACTATACATACTATACATACTATACACACTATACATACTATACATACTATACATACTATACATACTATACATACTATACATACTATACATACTATACATACTGTACATACTATACATACTATACATATTATACATACTATACATACTATACATACTATACATACTATACATCTTAGTCCTAGAATAAAAAAAAATATATCATTTAAATAAACCACAAATGCAGCTCAGCTATGAATGAGCCACATTTGTAGAGTCCTGTATATGAATACATCAAAATTCTCATCTAGAAACAGAAGTAAGAAACTGTTTGAAACAGAGTTGATTTTCTTTTTGGATAAGCTTTAGAATTGGGACTTAGCCTCTATGTAAAGTCTATGCCATTACAAAATTTTCATAGTCTCATAGTCAAATTCTTAGCTATATAGTTGCAGATGTGATAAACTTAGTTTAAGGATATCCTTGCTGAAACATACTATTCGAGGTATATTTAAACTTTTTCCTAACTCACCGCTTCGAGATCTTTTACCGAATTGTACAGCTAATTGTAAATTTTAGTTCCGAATTATGCTCAATTGAGGTCTTTGTATAGACAAATGCTTAATATTGGTAGATGAGTTATCTGATAGAGCGAGAGAGAGAGAGAGAGAGAGAGAGAGAGAAGTAGAATCGTTTTCTTCAGGTATTTGAGAAAGTGGAAGCACCATAAAAAAACAGTGTAGCCCCACTTGTCAAATTATTTCCTAAAATAAAAGGGGTGCCTAGCTTTATCTGAAAATGAGATACACTAGCTATAAGAAACTACCCGGCGTTGCCCGGGTCTAAACGTGCGCTGATATAAAGCCGCTCAAATTCCCATCCATGCATTCCAGCAGAAAAAATTATATTTAGCTTTTTATTTTATCAGAAGAATTTACTTTGGAGCAAGTGCAGTTCTGTAAGCTCTTTCGATAAGATCTACTAGCATAATTCCAGTTCAAGATATAATGCATAAATCTTATTTTCAACACGATTAGCTTGAATTTTGTGTAATGCCAATGGAATGTGCTCAAAATGTGAAACTTGGCCAAAATGTTTAGATTAATTTTTCCTTCTATTGTGCATAAATACGAAAATGTTTTTCCGTTTTGTTTTAGACCATGAAGCTGCGCCTCTCTGTCTCTCTCTCTCTCTCTCTCTGCCCGTGCATTACACACACACACACACACGCACACACTCGCGGCGCTTTTGTTGCGATCAGCTTTGCCCAATGGGCGGGTGGACGTGCCACTGGGTTACACACGCAAAGGGGGAGGAGAGAGGCTGGGGGTGGGCGAAAGGCAGGTAGATGGGTGACTGTGGGGGTGGGTTGGGGGCAGATTGAAGATGGATCTGTTTGCTGCTTGAGAAGGGCGGGAGACACAGAGAGAGCGTGAGAGCGAGAGAGAGAGGGGGCAGACTGAGTGGCAAGCGGGTGCTGCAACAGTGGCAGCTAACGGAATCAGGCACAGTCACAGCCGCCGCAGCGGCAGCTGCCGGCTGCTGCTGTTGCTCAGCTCGCGCGGCCAACAGGCTGCGATGGCTGCTCGGCCGCTCGTGGCGCTCGGGCTGCGGCCAATTCGAGTTGGTTGCCTGAATTCAGTTTTCAGTATTCAATTGGACTGCGACTGCGACTATTTCAATCGCGCCGAGAACCGAAATCCCGACAAACGGATCCAAAATTAAAAGCAAACAGAGACGGGCCGAGCGAGAGGGAGAGTGTGGGAGAGAGACAGGGAGCGAGAGAGAGAGAGAGAGAGCGCTCGTGAGCGAGCGAGCACATAAACAAGGGAGAAAGACGGTAAAACGCTTGTGTTCGCGCTTTGCGCTTTTCCTGCTTTCCGTATGCCTGTGCATGTGTGTGTGTGTGTGTGTGTGTGTGTGTGTGTGTGTATGTATGTGTGTGTGCGTCTATTTTGAAAATCAACTCGCATATCGCAATATCATTTGTTCGCTTCGCGCTAAGCGTATGAACGACCGCTGGGGGCGGTGATGGATGCGCCGGTTGTGTGGTTTAAATAGCTTTTGATGGCTTTGCAGACTCACAAATGCCTCGAAAGCAAAAAAACCAGAAAAAAAAACACACACACACACAAAAAGAAAGAGTATACCGTTGGTCGTCTGCTATGTCCGTTGGTTCGACAGCTTGTCTATTTCGGATCAAGTTTTACGGCATGCCAATAAAACAAAACGAAAATCCGTATTTCTTACAGTTTGAGAGGCACCGTCTTAGAGTCTGAGCTGCATTGGTGTTGGATCTGCTTTGGGAATCAAGCCAAAACTATTTTGGTCGCGCCTGCCACTCAAGTCCATATACCCTACAGTTGCCCAAGCAATGTCTTAGGAGCGCACTTGGCCTAGGGCGAATCTTTGACAAAGATTAAGCAAAACATATTTTGGTCGTGCCAAAGCTATCTACAGTTTTAAAGTCACAGGTATCCATTCACAGTTTATTTATCATTAAAATGTCAGGCTAAATGTATCTTACGCCCTTTAGACATGCAGTTTTAGATTCACAGGCATGAATCTACAGTTTAAGAGTCCGCATACAGTTTTAAAGCCATAGACTGCGAATCACAGTTTGATTTGCTTTTATAGCTCTTTAAACTTACAGGTTAAAGTAAATTTCATGGTCGACAGTTTTAAATTCACAGGCTTGGAGCCACAGTTTAAAGGTCTGAATACCGTTTTTAACTCAAGGGCTGGGATACATAGTTTAGGAGTCTATATATATGGTTTGAAAGTCACAGGCTTAAGAGTTACAGTTTAAGCGTCGTGAATTACTGTTGGTTCCTTTCAGGCTCAACTCAGTTATGGTTATAATCAAAGAAACCTTTTGACTTCCGCATATCGCATATAAATATTCAATATCTAAAACTTTCAAATTACAGTTCTAGAGTCATAGTCGTTAAAAATTAAGTATATTTTAAAGGTGTCTCGTAGGTTTTATAGTCTGGATAGCGCAAATTGGCCATGCCTACATGCTTTATATACGCCCGGAAAATATCACAAAGTTCGGATAACAAACATCAAATCAGCATTTCCAATATTAAGGGACTTAGGGAAGAAGAAGCACAGTTGTGTGTGTTTAGAAGTAAACTGGAATATTGGTAAAAGTAGCAGGGCATCGCCTAGTCGAGCACTCCCGACCAGAGCACTCTTCACTTGTTTTCTTTGGCTTTTGTTCGCAATTGGCTCACGCCAGCCGACTTGTAGCCAACGTATGCTTCAGTCCTACACAGCCAAAGATGTATATCGATGTGTATACACATACATATGCATATGTATGTATGTATGTGCATTCAGGCAAAAATACAGACAATGTCTCGGAGTTGTTCTTTGTAAGCAAGCAGCTCGAAAGCTCTGCGCAAGCTCGGCTTGAGCTTTAACTCTCTCTCTTTGGCGTGAGGTTTGGTTTTTAAAGCTTTAATGCGACCCTTGCAGTAAGCTCTTCAAGCGGCATGCACAGGTTCAACACCTGCGCCCCAAACAACAACACACACACACACACACACACTTTCCCATGTGACTCACAATGCGTTGAAAAATCAGCAACAGCGTCAAGGGAAGGGGTCTTGTTTGACTGTGTGCGTGCGTGTGCGTGTGTGTGTGTGTGTGTGTGTTTGGGGTGCTTCGAATTGAATTGCAGTGTAGCTGTTGTTCTTGTTGTTGCGGTTGTTGTTGTTGTTGTTGTTGTTGTGTTACGCGCGTATTATAATGCGACAGTAACCATGGAGCCGCAAGCTCACCTTTAAGGCGATAAGATAAAGCTGCCGCCTGGCACAGATTAGATATTAGCCGCCTATGAGTTCCCAGACCAAGCATGAGTTGGCCGAGTCGCCGAAGCCAGTGACATTATCTCCAAGACTGGCAACCAGTCAAATAGAGCAAAGCGTCGAGGTTTGAGACACGTTTCCATAGAGCACACATGCATATATGTGTGTGCGCATATGTATATAGATATTTACCAGTTAAATGCGACGCGAAGTGATTTATTTATTATTATTATTATGATTTTATTTTTTGTTTTGGAATTTGCATTCAGAAGTTGCGACGTCACGTTTTCGTTTTTCATATTTTCATCTTCAGCTGTGTGTGTGTGTGTGTATGTATCTGTTGTGATGTTTACGAATGGGCGTGATTTCATTCTAACAAATTCGATTCTATGTATTTTTAATTTTAGTCCAAGGTTTGAAACAACAACAGCAACAACAACTGCCGACAACTATAAACGTAATCAAAGCAACAAAGAAGCGCACAACGCAAAAACAAAGTCTTCAACTCAGAGCGACAGAGAGAGGGACGAAGAGAGAGAGAGAGCGTACTAAACAGAGAGTGCGAGTGAAAGGCAAAAGACAGAGCGTGGGAGAGTCAGATCAACGCGCACAGAGCTACATATAGAGACGCAGGAGAGCAGAAGAGTAGACGCAGGCAGCTGCTGTAGCTTGGCCAATACAAAAAATTACGCATACGCCGCGTGAAGCGCAATCGCAGCCAAGAAGAAAAAAACACAAATCAAACAGAAAAACAAAAAAAAAAAAAAAGATTAATTATAATATAAACCGCTCAGCACTGACTCAACCCCAGCACGCCAGTTGCCGCGCCACGCCCCGCAACGAACCGGACCGCCCGCACAAACTCTCATCAATGGTGTTGGCTATCAATATCGCAAAAAACAATCAAAGATAGTTTCGGCAATTCTTTAACCGTGTGCAAAGTGTCCAAACAACTGGAACATCTCAGCAACAACAACAACAACAACAACAACAGGAACAGGCAACCGCAGCCTCAGAGCCACCGTGCAAGCAGCATTGGTGGTGCAATTTTCAAACTGTAGCCGGCTAGAAACTCAGGTGAGCTGCAATTACTTTAAAGCATGTAGAATTTCCGGTGGCTAATCTAATTCATTTCGTAGACGTTTGTATTTTGAGCCTAAGATAGAGCAGTGCAGACTATATTGTAGAGCTACAAACTACTATAAACAAATTGAAGAGTTTGTACAGTAAACATTTGTATTTTGGAGACCTTGGAGAGTTGGTGGCAAATTTGTAATTTCATTTTGTAGACATTTGTATCGTGAGCATAATGCCGATCGGTGTAGACTATATAATATTCATTTTCTAAACATCAAAAGCTTGGAGACTTTGTTGGTTGTTAAGCGTTATGGAGAGTTTGGAGAATTATTGAGGCTTAACGTTGTGATCTATGTAGCTTACTTTTGAGTGAGCTCTTGTGAGTTCTAAGAGCAAACGAATTTTGGAGAGTTTGGAGATTTAAGCGGTTTCTTTGAATTGAGCCTTTTAGACCTTAACGTCGGTTCATGAACCTAGTTTTTCACATCCCTTAACCCGGACTTCTAAACTATTCTTTAAAGAGCTTATGCAGCCTTGAGCTAGATTTTCTTTTGTGAGAGTCGGTGCCTAAAGTTAATCTTTCACAAAATTGCTGAATATTTTAATAGCGTTAAAATGCAACTGATTTTCTTCTCTAAAACCAAAAACCAACCCTAAAAAAAGTTGCTTAGTAAAGCTAACAGAAAAAAGTGTTGGGAAATATTGCAAACAAGTAATCATTACACTCCAACAACAACAACGGATATCATAGAGACCGAGAGAGAGTGAGAGAGAGAGAGAGAGAGAGAGGGATAGAGCGCGGGAGAGAGTGAGTTTGGTATGGAGATTGGGGGCTGCAAAAAGTCAAAGAAATGTTTCTAATTTTGCGTATAATCGGTTCGAACCTCATTATTATCAGCTGCTTAACTGCTCGGCACTTCAACAGCTCATCAGGCGCACGCACACACACACACACACACACACACACAGCGACACACAGATATACACAGATATAGGGGAAACACTCGTGACCAAGGCCCTGTCAGTTGCTAGTTTCGGCCAGTCTTATCAAAGAGCCAACAAACAGTTAGAACTTAAAACTTGCTCAACCCACAGTCCGGGTACAAATTAATATTGTGCTTCTCTCCATGTGTGTGTGTGTGTTAGAGATGGGCAAGTCGTGACACGAGATGTGCGTGTGCTCATATGGAACAGATTGCTTTTAAGCAGGATTTCATAAAAAGTATAGTTTTATAAACTTTGATGTTGATAAAAACCAAAAGCTATATCCATAAGTCATAGATGTAGATACTAAAGATATTATGTTATGTTCTTAGAATGGGCTCGATCAAGATTGTGCTGTACAAATCGGTATTTCCTGTTCAGCTTTAATAACTACCACGTTATATCGAATAAACAAGTAAACCTATCTATTATATCCGAACAAGTTATTAGCAAGCATTAATATAAGCTGATAGCAAAATGTAGTAAAAGAGAAAATATAGTTTATTTCGTGTCCATATATGATATCATGCTCTAATATATAGTCACGCGGCCATTTCCAATATCAGAGCTCTACAAATAGAATCAAGCGACTGTTTGGGCAACAGTCACAGCAGCAGAAATATGCCCCCAAAACCCGCCCCAGCACTTGGGCTCACTTTTATCAGCGGCTTATCAGTAAATAATTCCACCTGTTGTGTGCAGTTGAGGCGTCCAATGAGGTACGGATTGGGGGGTTGGGGGCAATAATGGAGCGAGTTTCTGGGAAAAAGGGGTCGCTGTGGAGCAACGCCCAAGTGTGTCTCTCTGTATGTGTGTGTGTGTGTGTAAAAGTGCAGATAAATTCAGTCAGGTGTCGCTTTGAGACTTGCGCCTTAAGTTCGAGCAAGCAAAGCAACGCTTATGTAGGCTTACACACACACACACACACAAACAGACACACACTACCATACACATCTGTAGATACTTTTGTATCTGCAGCTTTTTACATATGTACATAGACTTAAGTATCTTGTAGTGCTGCTTGAAGTACAAATTTTTGCTGCTGTGTTGTTTGCATTGCTCAGCAGAAAGCCGTTGCCTGGCCGCGACCAGTGGCCCATTGTCAATGGATTTTATAGATAACAGACACACACACACACACACACACACACACACACACACACACACACACACACACACACACACACACACACACACACACACACACACACACACACACACACACACACACACGCACACACACGCACACACACGCACACACACGCACACACTTACACATGGACACTCACATCACGCTGACTCTGATTCAGTTGGGTTTCTTTTTTAATCTTATCTTAAAACTTGAGTCGACATCGTTTGCCATACCAACGCTGACGCTTTGTAACTCACTCACATACACACACACACACACACACACACACACACACACACACACACACGCTCTAATACAGTACTCGATAACTTGCCGAGGCTCGGCATCTAGGCATGGTAAAAGGAGCAACGCCTTTTTAATCCTTTGATTCGGTATGCGATTTTTCATTTAGGCACAAATTATAATAAAGACATGCAACATCCTCAAGGTAGGATGAAATTAAGATAATAGTGGGAAAAACAGTGCCAGAAGAAGAATTGTTGATCCTCACTGGATTTTTGTTGTTTTCAGCTTTAATACAAGAGAAAACGTGGTCTTTAATCCTCGAGTATACACGTTTATTAAGAGCGAATATTAGTCGATTAAAACTTTACATATCTATTTTTGCGTTTTGCCTAAAGTCAAATGATTTAAATGCGCTTTTTTAGCTTTTAGAATATATTCCAAGCTCACAAACTAATCGTATAAAGTAGAAAGAATCCGTATACAAATGAATTTTATTACAAAAAACTCAAAACTCTGGACTGCAAGTTAAGATCAGATAATTATGACATACAAGCGAACTTCAAAGAAATCTGTTAACAGAAAAAACAGCCATAAACATGGTCTATGTAAAGCTTTTCTGCGATCACATATTCTGCGATTCTTAAGTATTCCCATGGGACATGCATGTAGTAACTGTATATATGTGCATATTTGTAATTTATGTATATACATATATGCATAGCTTGATACCCTCTTTGCATAAAATTCGTAAAAGGGGGCATCATGAATTTGAGCAAATGTACGTAACAGGCAGCTTTCTTCCTGAAGTACAGACACACATACATATCCATACATGTGTACATGAAAAACGGTATTCTATGGCATGTAGAAATTGCATACGGTATGTTTGTACATAGATAGGCCTGTGCATGCGTATGTATATAAAAGTGCATATTAATAGTTTGGCGCTGTGCATAGGGTATTTTTTACTTCAGATTATATTCCTTTTTATTTCATCTCTGTTTACATCGATGCTTCTGTTGTTGCTATTTTTGCTGGTGCGAGCGCGACCCACGTCAGTCTTCAGTTGCTCTTCGTTTTGAGCTTCGTGCGGTCTTCGGTTGCCAATGCTCTGCTGACGTCGCTGCCGCCGTCAACCCTTACTTTGTTGCTGCTGCGCTTAAAACGATTTTTTGCTGTTGTAGGCGTAGGGGGGCGTTTGGGCGGATGTCAAAACACCAACTTGACGCTGGAGTTGCACTCGTTTAGGTGTATGTGTGTGTGTATGTGTGTGTGTGTGTGTGTGTATGCATTTATTTATAAACTGAGCTCATTGTTTGCCCCACACGCGGCTTTGACTCGCTCTTTGCGAGCACGCTTCTGTGCATGTGTGTGTATGAGTGTGTCTCAGTCTGAGTCTCCTGTGCCGCACTGCTGGCAAGCGCGGCCTCTTAAACATTTGTATCACGCCGCGCGCGCTCTCCCTTACACTCTCTCTCTCTCTCTCGCTCGCACACAGCCTACAATGCTGTACTCTCCCGCTCACACATGCGCGTGTCGTCGTCGTCGTCGTCGCTGCGTTTCGTTGCGGGGTTGTTGTTGTAAACTCGGTTTCAAGCTTTAATTACGTCTCATACACACACACACACACACAGCTGTGAGGGCAAACAGACGGACTCATTCAGCCTCAGCCCCAGCTGTGTGGCTGTGTGTGTGTGTGTGTGTGTACGTTCTATGCGGGGCCTTCAGGGGGCGCTGCGACGCAGTTGTTAAATTGTTGTTGCTTGTTGGCCTGCGCGGTATTCCTATTTTTGTTTGCCCGTCGGTTGACGTCGCTCTTGTTGTTGTTTTAGTTCTTGTTGTTGTTGGTGTTGTTGCCCAACGGTACTTCTGAGCGCCAGCCATTATTTGCTCGAATTCAGTCAAGCTTTGTGCTTCGTTGCTGCCGCTCGCGAAGTTGTCGCGCTGTCGTCGTCATCGTCCCGTTGTTGCACCCAAAAAAAGTAATAATAATTAAATAGAAACCATCCAGTCGAGCCAACCACCCAACCACAGTCGGTCGCTGCCGTTTTTTGTGCTCTTTGCGCTATATTCCTCGCTCGTTTTTTTCTTCTCTGTGTGTGTGGGTGTGTGTGTGCTTTTTGCCGGCTTTGGCGCGGCCTCAAAACGTGAGTACATTTAATACGCGGTCTCTCACGCGCTCCCTCGTTCTCTTTGATTACATACAATGCGTGTGTGTGTGTGTGTGATGGCGCCCTAATCTCCAATTTGAGATTAGATATTAAGTTGCTTTACATTATTGTTTTAGTCTGGGCCTGCATTCTGTTTTGTATATACATACATATGTATATATATATATATATATATATACACGCGCATGCATATGATATACTTCTTTTATGCCATGCCTGCATTTAGTTAGACAGCTGAGCTTTGAAAGCTGCGCTCAAGCACGCCACTTTGTGCAGCTTAAAGCTTTGAGTTAAGCTCAAAGTTTATGCCGATTTTAACCCCTGAGTGGCGTACTTATCATAAGACTATGCAAAAATGCTCAAATCGATAAAAAGCTTTGGCGCTTATCAATTAATAACAAAATAAAAAATATAAATAAAAAAAAAAACAAGAAGAGGAAGAGAAACAACTTAGCCAGTAAATGACCAAATTCCCACCGCTCACTAAATTGGCACGCAAAACCATACTCGTCGAGGATTTCGTGGAAGTTCACGTTGCGAGCTATCAGGGTTGGAGTGGGCGGCGCGCAAAGCGCAAAGCTCGGAGCTAGCTGCTGCCGGGCCTGGTCGTTAGCTGCGTCGCCAGCTTATCACACACACACACACACATTGGGCCAGGCCGTATGCATGCTGTGTGTTTGCGTGTGTGTCTCCCAGAAGCGCATGAGTATGCATATATGCATATATGCGTTATCAATAATCGGTACGTCGTATGTGTGTGAAAGAGTTAAGCGTTAAATTTGTTGTCAATTGTTTTTTCCCTATTCTTTTGTTTAGCTTAAATAATTAAAGAATGGCGCGTCTAAAAGCTAGGTAAATTGATTGGGTTGCGAAATCGAAATCGCTCTATTTTAATTACCCTCCAATCTTCGCTCTCTTTTCTTTATTTCTCTCCTCTCTCTGTACTCTCTTATACTTGCTCCAGTTCTCTCTTACTCTCAGCCCCACTCTCTTTCCCGTTCTATGTCGCACCCTCTCTCTCTCTCTCTCTCTCTGTTACTCTTGTTCTCACGCTACCTAGGCGATATCTCTCTTACTCACATTTCTAATCTCTCTTTCTTTTTCTACCGCTCTCTTTCTTACTGTCTATTACGTTTTGCCCCTCAATCTATCGCCTTCCTCTGCGATTTTCACGAATTCTAGTAAGGTCTTGAAATTTGCAATTATTAGTGGTATCTATTAATCAAGGTTATATATTCATTCCATTTCCTTTATCTATTCCTCTCTATCTCTATCTTTCTCTCACTCTCACTCTGTCTTGGATGTATTTGTTCAATGTATCAGAATGCTTCACCCTTTACTAATACTTTTCCTTTCATATTCTTTTGCTCAGCTTCAAGACGTCTTGCAAACGGCTGAAAATGGAAAAGACTCCCCGGTATACACAGCGGGAGCGCAACATGGTGCTCGGGTATGCGGCCCAGTACAAAGATGTGATTGAGAATAAGCGCACAGACGCCGAGTCCAATCGGAAAAAGGATGAGGTCTGGCTGCAGATAGCCAAAGAGTTCAACTCGAAGGTCTATCATCAGCGCAGCGCCAAGCAGCTGCGACAGCTCTACAAGAACATGAAGCTGCTGCTAAAAAAGGATCTATGTGGCGAGGACAAGGGCAATCGCTCATTTATGGATCTGCTCAACACGCTCTCGCAACAGGAGTCCGTGGCGCAGTACATAGCCGAGCAAATGTCACCGGATGGCGCCGGAAGTCAAGCGACCGGAAACGGTCGCCATTTGGCCGATGACTACGAAGATTCAAAGGTATGTACTTTAAAGTTTATATGGAGTACTTAAAGAAGCTAAGACAAGCAACTTTCTTTTTAAAAAAATGAAAGATGAGATGCCTCAAATCATAAAATGGATTTATTATAGAGCACATTGCTTGCCGTGTTACCCAACACTGCAGTATCATATGTCACTTTAAAGCCGCAAGAGAAATTTGAACTTGCAATGGCTAAATATTTTCTTCAGGCTTCTTTACATTGCTTTGTTAGAAATGCCAAACTCATGCAAATCTTGCATTGCCCAGTTTTTGTCAGAACGACTATATTTGCACTTACAAAACATGTATTAAGCTTTTCATGTTTACCAACACTAAAAATAAATCTTTCCCTCAAGAACTAAGTGCTCGAATAACTGGCTAAGATACTTTATCTGCCCAGCCGAGATGCCTATTAATTATATATAAAACTGTTATTTTCCATGGATCTAATTCTTTTACATTATTCTGTTGTTAGCCAACACTTGCAACACTTGCAGCAATTGTCAACGATTTTTTAGTGTTGCAAAACTTGTAAATGCCGAAAATCGGAAACAACTTTTTAAACTCTTTCTCGTTGTGTGTTTTTTCTTATTGTTGTGGAAATAGTTGCCCATGTACGAAGGAATGGACACAGATGTCATACTGATCAAATCGGAGACAATTAGCGATAATGAGCAGACAGAGAACGGCATTGACTGCATGGATGATGATGACGATGACGATTGCCCCAGTCCAAAGGCGCCCGAAGTGTGTCTGGAGGAGGAGGACGAGGTGCTATTCGCCACAGATCTGCGCCAGCTGCAGCAGCAAAGCGCCGGCGTCTCCATGCCCAGCAGAGACTTGGCCAATGGCGGCAGCAGTATGTGCAACAACAACAACAACAACAACAGCGATCCATTACCGCGTGCGTCTAGCTCACCCGTGGGCTCCACCAAGACCTCCATCTCATCCGCAGGCAGTTATATGTCCGGGGGCGTGCCAAAGGCGGAAATAATGCTCTCCAGTGTGGGCAACATACGCGTTGGCGCTTTTGCCAGCATTAACAAGACCCTCCAGAATGGCAACATGAACAGCAGCAGCAACAACAACAACAACAGCTGCAACAACAACAACAATAACAGCATCAGCAGCAACAACAACAACAACAACAGCAATGGACTGCAGCTTACGGCGGAGCAAATGGAGCAGCACTTGCTGCTTAACGGCTTAGGTCTGTCGGCGGTGCAGCATCCACCGGCGCACACGCTGCAGGCGGCCATCAATGCGGCAACGAGCGGCGTGGGCAGCTCGCGGCATGCAACACAAACGTTGCAGCTGCCGCGTTTGGCGCGCGGTCACACAGTGGAAAGAGGTGCAACGGCAGCGGCAACAGCAGTCGCCGCTGCAGCCGCTGCCGCTGCCGCTGCTGCCACAAATGGGTCGAACCGAACGGGCGGCGTACAGCTGCTGCTCAATGGACACCAGAGCCGGGACAAGGCGCAGGCGCACCAGCATCTCCAGCAGAGCAGCGGCCTCAGCGTTGCCGCCGGCAGCTTTAATGGCTACAATGGACTCGGAGTTAGCAACATAAACACCATTAATTGTGCCTCCGCCGCCGCCAACAGCAGCAGCAGCAGCAACAACAACAACAACAACCTTAACCTTAACCTTAACAGCAGCAACAACAACCTGAACAACAGTAGCAACAACAACAACAACAACAACAACCTGAACAGCAGCAACAGCAGCAACGGCTCCCGCGGCCAGCACAATGAGTACATGATGTCGCTGGCGCTGGAGGAGCGCAAGCGAAAGATTGAGCTGCTCAATGTACAGATCGAGTATTGGCAAACGTTAACCAAAAAACTGGACTCACAGTCCGGCCACTATCCCAATCCGGCGTGCCTCTGCCATTTTCCAGGCAACAGTGTCATGGGCGTGGGCGCCAGCGTGGGCGTCAGCGGCGCGGCCAGCACAGCCGCAGCGAGTGTGTTGCAAACGCAGTCAAGCAGCAGCTAGTCCGAAGCGAACGATGGCGGTGACGACGACGACGACGACGACGACGACGGCGGCGGCGACGATAATGATGACGACGATGATCAAGGCGCCACTGGCCTGCTGAAAATCGATGTCGATGATGAGCCTGGGCGTGTCGACAGCAGCAGCAGCAGCAGCGGCGACAGCGACATCATTTCCATCGTAGACATTGACGATGAGGAGGACGAGGATGAGAGTCAGGAGGAGGAAGTGATGGAATTACAAGTGGAGCTGGAGCAGAGCAAGACCAGCATAACGGACTTAACGCTGCATGAAGAGTATGATTCACAGGATGCCTTGGTCAAGGATGTGGGCGTTGTCGGCGGCCTATCCCCAACACCCTCACAATCAGCGCCGTCGCCACCGCCATTGTCGCAGCCGCCAGCGAAGCGCGTCAAGCGCCACATTGCGGTGCTGCCGCCAGCAGCTGCCTCAGCGCTGCTGCTGCAGTTGGCGCAGCAGCAGCAGCAGCAACAGTCGCCCCCCGCGTGAGGCTGTCAAAGCAATTAGCTAGTCCTAGATACTTGTTGTTCTTAACACTATTAGTTTAGGCCATGTTTATGATCGTCGCCGTTAATTTTTTTGGTTTTTTTTTTATGTCTTATTTTCGATTTGCCATTTTTATGTTAACCAAATTACCAACTAATATACAATTAATTATTATTATGATTACCTATGATTAACGTAATGCTATTATTTATTTATGTCTAGTTTTGTGTGCCAAACAAAGAAGCCAACATGCAGGTGACTGAAGTGCATGTGCATTCATTTTATATTTTTTATTATAATATTAGTTTTGCAAACCAAATCTTTTTTGCCATTTAACGAAATGCTTGCCAAAATTTAATTTTAAGCATTAATTTATTGCTTAAAGCCAAGCCTACCCCCGCCTGCTATTATTTATTATTTATATGTTTTGTTAAACATCCATTTCTTTTTTTTTTATAGTTTATACAAAAGCAAATATATAAATTTATTGTTTAAGTTTTTTTTAGCTGCAAACCAAAAGAAAATGCAACGAAAGGCCCAAAAAACTGTTCATTTGTCACTGTAAATTTTACCTTAAATTACAAAACATAATTAGTTGTCATGTAAAAAAAAAAAAAACAAACAAACAAACAAATTACAAAAACTGTACAAATGTGGTTCCTAATCTAGTCCTTAAAAACAAAAAAAAAAAAAAAAAAAAAAAAATTCTAAGAAACTGTTTAAAAAAAGAAAACAAAGAAAAAATTTTATTGTTATGCATATAGCACAACTTGTGTATTTATTTTTTTTTTTTCTAAAAAATATACTTATATATAAACGCAAAGCCCCCAGTCCCTAAACCATCCAAAGAACTGTAGCTAATTTTAATGTACTTAAAAAAAAAAACTGAGGCACCCAAATCCAGATACAGAAATATTGAGTTTTGGATAGCAATTTGCTAGTCGCCGCTGCGTAACTGTATTCTTTAGTCTAGCATACACAAGAAAAGTTTAATATAACAAAATTTTAAAAATGCTATTAAGTTATGTATTTGCATATGTAGTAATATATATACAAAAAAAATTATGTGTAAAAATTACCCACAATTTACATAAAAAGAAAAAAAATAACATTTATACAATTTTTCTAAACAAAACAGATTAATAAAAACCCCAGTGAATTTATTTCGTGGCCTAGTTAAACGTTACAAATATGTGTTAAAAATAAATAAGTTTAAAGACGGAACTGATGCGGGAATATTCAAGTCAATTTGGGCGGGCAAAACTATCAGGCTGAGGCAACACTAGTCAAGTGCTGCCGGATCGCTGGCAGCCCTTGTAAAAATTCAGCCAGCGATAGCAGTTACCGCTACACAAGAGTCACAAACATGTAGCACAAAATAGTTAACATTTACATGGATTAAGAAACTTACTAGTTGCATTTTACAAACTCATTTTTATACATTTAAAAAAATAATCGAAAATTCAATTCATAATGCCTAGACATCGATAGTTGGCAGCTCCTATTTACTCGTCTCGAAGCGTTGGCGATAGTTCCACACTATTGGATATTCATCGTGAAGTGATAGTGCCACGGCACGAAATTCGATAATCGAGCTGCCATTGTGTTATCGCACCGCTAAAGTTCTTATATTAAACAAACTACACAATAAAGTTAAGCTACGCCAACGTTAATGAAATCCTTGTAAAAGCCAAGTCCAACAGATATCACTTTTTCTCATTTCGTTGAGAGCAGTAATTGAGAGTAAAACTAACCAGCATATGTATACAATTAAAATTGGCGCGCTGACAGGCTAGCAACTTGCCATCGCAGTCAAACAAAAACAATTGCAACAACAAGTTATCGATGACGACCTGCGCGAGTTCTATATATATATATATATTTGTGTATGTATGAGCAGTGTTTTTATTTAACTTTTTACGCACATCACAAGTTGCATTGTTTAGTGAAACCGTCCGCCGACAATGATATACGTTGCAGCACATGCCAGTTAAAAGTAAGTCGAAGGGGCGCTAAACATTTAATTTTGGCCAAACTGCGTGCGTGGATGCGTTTCGGATACCATAAACAGAAACAGCAACTGCAACAGCAACAGCAACAGCAACAAACACTCCGGCATTGGATAACAATCAGTTTGAAGCTACGTTTGGCTTAACACGCTTAACAATTAATTCGTCTCGCAGAAAAGAATCTAAGCGAAGCTTTTAAAGTGTCAATAAAAGCAAAAACGACAACAACAATACGATACTGTCAAAGGTGTTGGCGCGGGGGTGGCGGACGGACGGCCGACAACAATCAAAAGTATGAGTAATACCGTAGAAAGTAACGGCAATAGACGCACCGTTGATTGGCAACGCTTTGGTCTTGGTGGCGACGATGAAGGCGAGATAACGGTAGCCAGCTTTCGCCAACGAAGCAACAACAACACTGGTGGCTTCGTGGATCTGGGCAATGAGTATACGTACGCGGCCGGCGGACATCATGCGTCTGGCGCCAACGAAATCTTTGCCGGAGAGCAAGGCGACAAACCCTGGTAGGTAAAACCATAGAATTCGCCGCCTAATAATTCGTGACTGTTGCCACCGCTCAACAGGTGGCGCTCGAATTTCTTCATCTCGCAGCCGGTGCTATTTGGCACATGGGATGGCGTCTTTACCTCTTGCCTGATTAATGTTTTTGGCGTTATCGTGTTCCTGCGCTCCGGCTGGATTGTGGCCCAGGCAGGCATCATCAATGCTGTGCTCATCATATTCTGCACTGTGGTCATTGCCTTGGTCAGCGTGCTCTCGGCAATTGGCATTTGTGAGAGATGTCGCGTGGAGAGCGGCGGTGTTTATTTTCTTATAGCACACACGTTAGGCTCCCGCTTTGGCGGTGCTCTCGGATTGCTCTACTGTTTTGGTCAGGCCGTTGGCTGTGCCCTCAACGTGATGGGCTTTGGCGAATCGATGGCAGGTCTGGTGGGACTCGAGGGTAACAAGTGGGCCATACGTGGCTTCGCGACTGCCGCCGTTCTACTGCTCGGCTGCATCAATGTGGCTGGCGTCAAGTGGGTCATTAAGCTGCAGTTTATACTGCTGATGGTATTGCTTATATCGGCGTTAGATTTCATGGTTGGCAGCTTTGTGGGCGAGGATCCAGGTGGGTGTTTATTAACCGAGCCTTTTGCTTCTTGAATGACAATCGCATCCATTACAGACAATGACTTCGATGGCTGGATGAGCGGAAACTTTGTGGAGAACCTATGGCCAAAATATGAAGATGGATATTCATGGTTTCGAGTTTTTGGAGTCTTCTTTCCAACTGTCACTGGCGTCTTATCCGGCATCAATATGAGCGGCGATCTGCGCGCTCCATCCACAGACATTCCTAATGGCACGCTGGCAGCATTTGGCACTTCGTTAGTCATATTCAACGACTGATTCCATAGCTGTTTGATTCCATCTTTGCCATTTATTTTTTTGCAGCACATTTCTGTACTTAGTGTTTGTGCTATTTTTGGGTGCCACATGCAAGCGTGCCACATTATACACTGACTTCATGATCTCTGTAAAGGTATCGGCCGTTCACTTTCTGCTGCTGGCGGGCATCTATGTGTCCAGCATGTCTTCCTGTCTGGGAGCCATGTACGGCACGCCGCGCGTCCTGCAGAGCATTGCCAAGGAGAACGTAATACCTGGTATTGATGCACTGGGCAAGGGTGTAAGTACATAGACACGCCGCTCTTTCTTTCTCTATTTCTATGTCGCCCTCTCTCTCTCTCTCTTTCTATTCTAATTCACACAGCGCGGCCCCAATAAAGTGCCACTGTACGCAATGGCCGTAGTGGCTTTGGTCACGGTCACCTTTATTATCGTAGGCGACATTAACTTTCTGGCGCCCATTGTAACAATGCCGTTCCTGATGACATACGCTTGCATAGACTACGCGTACTTCGCACTGGCTCAAACCTTTGACATACAGGAACAGCGCGAGGAACGTTTTCGTATACAAGCTTCCAGTCCAAGCTACGAGACGCGTCGCTACGGCAGCGTATCGGATGCTGGCAATGATCTGGATTTGCTCTTTCCAGATCGGGTGCGCCACAAGAATCTTCAAAGTCCACAAAACTCACCAATGCATCAGGCGCAAGCACTGCCATCAGTGCCTGTAGAGAACATTGTAAATTTCGATGCGCCAGCGCCCAGCACTTCATCTGGGCAAGAAACGGCAGCAATGACGGACAGCACTGGCGTGGTCGTCGAACAGTCCACAGCACAGGCTAGCAGCGAAGTGGAGGATGAGAATGAGCCCATTGCTCCGATTCGCCCGCCTATACATTCTAAGACGAAAAACTGGTACTCTGGCTTCTGCAATCGTTGGGCCTCGTTGCTGGGCGTAAGTAGAATAGATATACTTTTAGAGCTTTATCTCAACCTTCTGTTTTACGTGTAGGCACTCACCAAACTGCTGGTTATGCTGTTGGTGAACTGGTATTATGCCTTAACTTGTTTTTTGGTCGTATTCGTTGTTTGGTTCTATGTGGGCACAGCTAATCCCGCCGTCAAGCCTGGCCTGACCGCAGAGTTCAACTTTTTTGGCTGGCTCAAGAGCGTCATCTTTCGTTGCTTTGGGTAAGTATTATTTTTTCAATTTAACTGCCTTTTAACTACAACTAGCTTTTACTATCTTCGGTTATATAGAAAACGCATGCACGAGTACGAACAAATTGTGGTGACGCCCTCTTGTCCGGGCGTCGATCTGTCGCCCACACAACTGAATGAGCAGAACGAGGACTTTAGACCGCGTCCCAATTACCATCATTCTTCGGTAATAGAGGGTCGGCTGATAGATGATATCTAGACTTTTGGCCATGGGCCGTAAACAGTGGGAACATGGGTTATGGGGAGACGCGGCGAGCAATATTTTGAGTGCATTTTGCTAATACTAAACCATATAAATTATAACGTACATTTGTAAAGTGCAACGCTAAGGATAATTATGTTTAATCCAGCACATGTATTTAGAAGCGATCTTCCCACAGACACTCAAAAACCTAACCCAGCGCAGCGCACATTGCAGCTTTAGCTAAATTTAAATTACTTGTGTACTAATTATTAAATAATCTAAGTTGAAGAATTTAACCTGCTTTTAATATGTTCCTTTCTTGTGTAAAGTCTTTTTGCTATTTTGCCATTGTTTAGTTCTATGGAAAGCCTGTAAAATTGTTGCTTAATAGATATGTTTCCGTACATTTTGTACTGTCTCAAAGCACATACATAGTTTATTTGAGGAAACATATGTGATATTGAGATAATAAGTAAAACAATCAAAAAAAAAAAAAAAAAGAAGAAAACCAACCACAGCCCAAAACAAAACAAATACAAAAGAGTTTTGGAAATTTGGCGCGTTTGCATTCTATGATACCATAAAGAAATAAATTAAAAATGAAACTTATTTGATTGAAATACCTTTGGTTAAAATATATATATGTAAACTCACACACCATCAACCGCAAAAGCCACGAAAGCAAAACAAATTCAAGCCCAACTCTTCATATGCAAATAAATAAGCAAAATCAATGTAAACACTATAAGTCATAATCTACTACCACAAATATCTGCAATAATTGCATTATATATACCATATTACAGGTATATAATCAAATGTTTAAGTAAAACTATAACGAAAACCATATAAAACATTGCAGCGCGTTATATTTCAAAAATATACAAAGCGTTTTACTTTTGGACGTACATACTTATATAGCATAAATTTAATCTAGTTATACAAAAGGCAGATAGCACATCCATGAACAAAACAAAGTCGATGTATATGTAACAACAATATTAACTGAAATGTGTATTAAAAAACGGTTTAATAAACAAAAATTACATTTTTATTTTAATACAATTAAGTTCCTGAACATGTAAGCACAGGAATATATATATATATTTTCAAAGCTCGCAAGGCTTCGTGCAGAGTAAGTCGCTTTTCTTTAATAATGCTTTTGACTTGAGATTTCAAATTTTAATTATAGGCGCCAAGGATCGAATGCAAATGTGTGCAAATATATATCGATTGCTGTTGAAAATTAGTCGTGCACAACAATCGATATGTTTAAACGGCAGCCCTGGAATGCGAGTATTGCAGCCCTATAACCTAAAAATTATTAAGCTAAAAAGTAATACACGGTGCATTTTTTTCATATTTCTATTAAAACTGACCACTGCAAGTATATGAGGTTGCCCCGATAGCACCAGCCTGTCGCTATGAACACCCTAATGCGCCGAGCACTGCTGCTCATGCACTCGCGCACATATTGCATAAAACAATACGCTGTCGCCGGCACAGAAGCGGCTGCAAAAGGTGGGTAAACAGTGTTCAGTTAGCTGCTGGAGTGCTACTTTCTTGTATTTCTACAGGCAAACTAAACTATGAAGAGTTTATTGACAGCCGGCACCAGCAGGCGCAGCGCAGCATTGTGGTGCAGGTTAGCTCAGAGAAGTCATACCCAGAATTGTATAACTACTGCAGCAGATTCGGACACATTGTCACAGTGCAACACTACTGCGTGCAGCATGAAGATGTGCTGCACTATATGCTGTTGGAATATGCCAGTGCCGGCGAGGCAACCGCTGCCATCAGCTCAAGTGCCTACAATGCAGAGCTGAGCGGCAGCAGCAGTGGCAGTGGCTGTGGCGTGCCGGTGCGGTCACCGTTCCTTTGGTTTAGAGCAGCAACCGCTGGTGCGGGCCGGCGTGGCCAAGCCAAGCTAGCGTCCAATCACAAGGCGCTGCCGCTGAGTACAATCGACGGCACGCGACCGCCGACCCATGATTACTTGCAGGAGCTGCTGCGCGGCGCCGACAGCATCGAACAACAACTGCAACTGTTGTACGATCAGACGCGCTTAAATGATTTGGGCGTACGGATGCGCTTTTTGGCCGCCCTACAAGTGCAAGAGTCCATCTCGGGCATGTTTCCGGATGCGCTGGCCCAGCCATTTGGTTCCTCGGTAAATGGTTTTGGCAAAATGGGTTGTGATTTGGATTTGATTTTGCGCTTTGATGGCAAAACAACAGCCAATGGCCTGGATAGCCAACGCGAGGCGTCGCGTCTTATATATCACACCAAGGAGAACCTGAGCAATGGACGCTCGCAGACGCAACGACAAATGGAATGCATTGGCGATGTGCTGCATCTGTTCTTGCCCGGAGTCTGTCATGTTCGGCGCATTCTGCAGGCGCGTGTGCCCATTATCAAGTATCATCACGAGCATCTAGACTTGGAGGTGGATTTGTCCATGAGCAACCTGTGAGTAACAAACTATACTAATACAAACTATGCCTTTACATGGGGTAGACTTATAGTAGACATATATATATATGTATTCGTTGTCAGTGTCCACAGCTGAATAGACACGTCTGGTCTTTCAGTTTTGAAACAATCTTGAATAGATTCGTCTTTCTGCTGCAGGCTGAACTTGAAACAGATTCCCTTAAATCGTATAACTCTATCATGCAGCTGTCATAAGATCTATTTGACGAATACATTCGATCCAGTCATGCCATGTTCATATCCACTCATATCCACCTTAGCTAAAAGGGTTAGATACTCCAAATTTGAACCTTAGATTCTCGAAGTTCTTAAGTTAACTAACAATGGATGTTTATAAATTTCCAACCACCTTTTTATACCCTGAACCCATTAAAAATGGGTATAAGGGTATATTGTATTTGTGCAAAATCCAAATGTATGTACAGGCAGAAGGAAGCAGCTCCGACCCCTTAAGTATATATATTCTTGATCAGCACCAATAGCCGAGTCGATCTAGCCATGTCCGTCTGTCTGTCTGTCCGTCCGTCCGTCTGTCCGTCCGTCCGTCTGTCCGTATGTATGAACGCAAGGATCTCAGAACCTATAAGAGCTGAAATTTTAGATGTAGGTGCTCCCAGTGCCTGCGCAGATCGAGTTTGTTTTCGATAATCGATAACTTACTCCGTTTCCAAGCAATCGATAAAAATCGATATCGACATCATGTTTTTATATTTTGAGCCCAAGGCAATTAATCTAGAGTATAAATAGTCTTATGTATACGTATGCAATAAGCAGAAGTAAGCTTCTTCGAACCCATAACGTATATATATACTTGATCAGCATCAAAAACCGAGTTTGTACAGCTATCTCTGGCTGTCCGTCTGTATTAGAGCTAAAGATATGGAATTTTGAACGTAGAATCTCTTAGTGTACGAAGAAGAAGTCTTGGGCTTTGGTATCGACACACATGTAGATGACATATATTTATTACCTGAAAGTTGAATAAGAATCGGGCAATAAAGTTCGAAGTTAATCACGATAGGCAAAACGTAGTGCAGGCACTTTATTTAATTAGTTAGTTTTATTATTTTCTTTGAATTTGTTTTATTTTGACCTTGCCCTTGCTCTTAAGCCCTCACTATCATATTATTTTCTTATTGAATGGATTATTTTTCTGGTGGGCCAAAAGCGGCTTTATTCTCTTGGTTTATTAACGTACTTATTGTTCGAATTGAAAACTTATGATCTATTAAGCATGGACATAACTCTTTGCACTCTGCGCTCGTCTAGGCTGTTAACTTAGCTAACTAAATGGTTGTTGCTTTGGGTTGCTGCTGGCCTTCAGCGTCTGTAGTTGGTGGCTTGCTCCTCCTCCTTTTTGACGGCCTGGACCAGGATGAAGCTCATAACGCCACAGATGACCGTCAGCATGGCCATTACCATGGCCAATCCCACAATCCAGGCGGTCTTGCCCTCAAAGAACCAGGTCAGCTCGTCCACGCAGCCACTGAAGAAGGCATTGCCACTGACGGCGTCGCGACAGGAGCTGGGCAATGGTTGGCGCAAATCCAGATAGTCCCATGGTCCACTGGCGCCGCAGCAGCCAATATTTTCCTGAATCATGGTCAGCACATAGTTGGAGTACGTGTATTCCGATGTCGCCACAAATCTTCTAAGCGACACATTCAACAGCGGCTGCAAGCTCGAGTTAATTGTGCTGTACTGTAGCAAAATTGCCGCACCGGCCACCGTGGCCACAAAACCAAATATCTGTGTGCCAATAAATACAAACAGCGCCAGGGTGTTCTCCATGAGGGCACTAAGGCAGCCCAGAAAGCTGACCGCCATCATGATAATGCTAATGGCAATCAGCACATAGACACCAATGTAAAACGACTGAGCCTCCAGTATGCGGAGCCAGTCATTGAAGCCCGGCTCGGCACGCAGCCAGACGGTGAGCGCGAACAGGGCCGTAGATATCATCCAGGCAATAATATTGAAGCAGAAGAGCGTGTATTTCACGCAGCCGATTTGTTTCTCCAGCTGCTCATCGGCGGCGCCATAGCCAATCCCCATGCTGAAAAGCTGTGCGAACAGAAACGATAATAATCATTAAGCAACATATTTAAATAGATGGTGTAGACATGGATGGGGCATGAAATGTTATATACCAATTGAAATATGCTGAAAATGCAGGTGTTCCTGTTTACTTCAGGCGAATGCAAAGCCGCTTAAATGGACAGCAATCGAAAATGTCTTCTCGATTTGAACCGGCGGCCTTCCGCTGGTTAGTTCGATGCTCAGACCCTAAGCCAGACAGGCATATTTATGTGGCTGCATTCATGTTCATGTTTTTCATACAATCTTATCCCCCACCTGCGGTTGGAGTTGCCTTAATGCTCACTTTTAGTTCAAAAAGAAGCTTGCGTAAACATTTCAGCTTGACCACCAGTCAGTCAGGACTAACTTGAGTTTTAGGAATATAGTTTCTTGCCTTGGTTTCAATAAACCCCGTTGAGTCACTGCCAGTATAAAAAGCTGCCCCTAGCACGCCTGACATTAATCATACGAAACCTCAATGCCCTGGCTTCTATTCTTTTATTTTTTATGTGCCCAGGCCTGAAGCAACTTGGCCTTATCAGCGTTGTGTTTAACAAATAGCGTTATCATTAGTTGGTTGGCTTTGTTCGAGCCCGAAGTCTCGCAGGCACAACATGATTAATACACGACTTGCTATTGCAACACTCATTGAATTTCATACCAAAAATTTTGTTTTCTGCTCTATTATTGATCACATTTCTACATGTTTTAACCAACATTTCCTTGAGGGTCAGAACTTTTTAAACTTTTGCTTTTTCGCATGCGAGCGATAAAGTTGTAAATTTTCTATTGCAATAGTTTTTTTTACGCCACTTTCTCACTTATAAAAAAAATGTATTCCTTATAATTTACTTAGGCTTCACCTTTTAAATTGTTTAGTACACACAGATAAAAAAAAGAAGTTATTTTATTTAATACACCGTTAGAGCGTTGTCGCACTTTCTGGGAAGACAGCTCCGTTGGGTTCGTTCGTTGAAATCGGTTTGCCTTCTCCGAAAGCGCTCGCAAAGCCAGCAACCTGACCAAAATATGGTAGAAGATGAAAAAAGAATATATCTATCTCTGTCACAGTTGAAACTTTCAATATGATGACAACATCCAGAGTACAGTTTGGCGGACAGCAATTGTTATAGGCCGAGAGGCCCTCAGATAAGATAAGATTAGATGTGAGGCATGCCAAAGCTTTTGCTGATAAGATTAGATAGAAACAGGTGCCGTATTGCCAAATGCCATATAATGCATACATAACGGTAATAGCGCCATCTCTTTTGCCCATGGAGCAGGTGAATCAGTTACATTATATTATTCCTCCCACCACATTCCGTTTGTTATGATTCACAATTCTCGCTGACGCCGGATTTTAATCACGGACACGAATCGGCCAGAGTTGCTGATAAAACTAAGCCCACAATGCATTCAAAAAAAAAACCATATCCGGTCTGTGGAGGTGGTCAGTTCTCTGAATGAAACGCCACACTATGAGATGGCCTGTGTGCCACCTGCCACGCCCTGTCGCCAATGTTGGCTATGTGAATCACAGATCCGAAAAGCTTTTCAGTTACGCGTTTGTATTTTCGTAAATATTTTCATACACAGGATGCGAGCTAAATATGGTCTCTTTTAAACGTTTTAATTCGAATTTGGCTCATAACCAGAAAATATTTGAAAAATGTATCTCAAGCTTGAAGAAAAACCCTAGGTCCGAGCAAAGCCGGCGAAAGGTGTCTAGACTGTCCTCTATTTTGCAAGCTCATTTAATGTTCGTAGGCAATCTGTCGTGTTCCTTTTGCTTTCACTTGAACCTAATTGAAACCCATTTTCTAGCCGTGTTTTTCTGTCATTGAGAGAGCTTTTTTAAGCAGTGTCCATCTCATTAGGGATGCTATAGATGCTTTAACCTACTTGATGTGCTTTATTCACGTGTTTTAGCACTGGCTTCTACATGTCCGAGCTGCTGTACATGTTTGGCGAGCTGGATCCGCGCGTGCGTCCATTGACCTTTAGCGTACGTCGCTGGGCGCAGTCGTGCGGCTTGACAAATCCTTCGCCAGGACGCTGGATCACCAACTTTTCGCTGACCTGCCTGGTCATGTTTTTCATGCAGCAGCTGCGGCAACCTATTCTGCCAGCTATCGGGGCATTGGCGAAGGCGGCGTCCGCAACTGACATCCGGGTCACCGAGGATGGCATCAATTGCACCTTTGCACGGGACATGGAGCGTGTGGGCTTTCAGAGCCGGAATACGAGCAGCCTGAGCGAACTGCTGTTACAATTCTTTGAGTTCTATTCGCAGTTCGACTTTCACAATCGTGCCATATCGCTAAATGAGGGCCGCGCCCTGGCCAAGCCAGATCACTCGGCCATGTACATTGTGAATCCGCTGGAACAGCTGCTGAATGTGAGCAAGAATGTTAGCCTTGAGGAATGCGAGCGTCTGCGGATCGAGGTGCGCAATGCTGCCTGGATGCTTGAGTCTGAGGTGGAGAACACAACACTGACAGAGAGCGAGCGACACGAGCAATCCTGGGGTCTACTCAATCTCTTCAAAAATCCCGAGAAGTCTGTCATACGGCCCAACATGTTCTTCAAGCCGCGCATGGTCGAGGTCAGCGATCTGTTTGACAAATCCCAGACGGCAGCGATGACACCTCCGGCCGTAAACTACAAAAACGTCACTGTGCGCCAGCAGGTGCAGAGCATCAAGGCAGCCGCACGCAATGAACTGAAGCAGATGCGAGAGTCCAGTACAACGACGACGACGTCCGCAGCCAAAACCAAACGCAGCAGGTGATAACCGGCGGCATTTCACTAGACAAATCCCGGATTAGTGTATATATCTTAATAATTAGAATGTAACTCTACTCTGACTACAAATTTAGCTAACTAAATGTTGTTCATATTGTTAAGCGTTACGCCCCAAGTGCAGCGTACAAGGTACGAGCATGTTGCAGCTGTGTCTAGGTATGTGCAACAGTCCGCGGTGCAGCTCAATGTGGCAGCTTTAGAGCTAGCCCTTTGTGTCGCCACCTACCAATGTTAAGTATTTTAGCTGTTTTTTTTAATTAATAAAATTAAAATCAAAATTTTCCAAGCTGACACATTTTAATACTCGCTGCACAAAGTGAACAAGAGTATATTGTAGAAAGAGACTCGGAACTTATACAATCGCGAGTGTCTATATCTTTCACAGATTTGTAGCTGGACTCATAACATATTAATACATATGCATGGTAAGGGTATTTTGTCAGTTGAAAAGTGATGTCTATATTGATTCGTTTTTTGAGTCATAAGCTGTCTAAATAATATATTAAGATGTACCATCCATATAGATTAGTCAGAATTGTCTTCAGTAGCCATTCGTCAAAAACATCTGAAGTTTTCCAGCGCGGTAAATTGCCACTTGCTGCTCTGGAATCTTGACTTCGAGCTAGTATCCCAGGCTAGTTAATATCGTAGCAATTAGCTCCATTAGCTTGGAGCTCTTCAAAAGTTGAGTTGATTATATGCAACTCGATATTGTTCAATTTCAAAGATGAATCCAATTGAAGCATTCATCTGTTGGTGTTTTTAGCTGAAACAAATTCTACATATATTAATATACGAACTTGTTGCTGCATTTAGCAAACCTTCAAGGATTTAGGCAAGAGCTGTGATCATATTTTTGTAATTGCTCAATTTATTCATTTTGTTTTAATAGTTTTTGTTCTTTTTTTGTATTTTTCTATAATTAGGGCAAAGTCTTGATCGTTAACAACGCGCCTCATGCTGCATTCCAATGTTTTAATTTCTTCCCTATTTAGTTAGTTTTGTTTTGTTTTTTTTTTTTTTTTCTCTTCTTTTCAGTTAAGTTTAAGTTCTCTTCTTTTTTCAACTATGTGTGTAAATGTTTAAAATGCTATAAATTAGCACGCACAATTTGATTCAACATATTCTTATGTTTGTTTCTTTGTGTGTATACAAGTACGAGTGTAAGTATGTGTGTATAACAAAACACAATGCTTATATATGTATAAATTGTAATTATGTTTGCGGTCTTGTGTGTGTGTGTGTGTTCAGTTTCAATGTTTATTTCATACACATACATACATACATATGTATTGCGTTTGTTGTTGCTTTTATAACATAGTTCTAAATAAATATGAATATTTTGTTTATTAGTTTATGTGTGTTTGTTTATGCGCTTTAGATTGTAATATCGTTTGTGTTTAATGTACAATATATTGCAATCGGTTATTGCTTCTGATTTTCTTCGTTTTTCTGCACTCGCATTTAGGCAATTATGTAAGTATGTAAATCACGTATTGCATGTGTACGTAAGGTTTTTATTTGCATGAATTTATTTGTTGTTACTGTTACTGTTGTTTTTACGGCTGCTGCTTCTAAAGTTGTTTCATTTGTTGCCATACGCTTAAATTATTCAAATAATTTACATACATTAATTAAAAAAAAAATAAAAATTGTAAAGCCTAGTTAATAGGTACAAAAGATTGTTTGTCATGCGCCACGTGAGAAGAAATTAAACGACAAACAAATGCCTAATAAAATTAATATTCATATATATGTATAAATATATATATATATATTTAAAAAAAAAAAACAAACAAGAGTCCCGTTCTTGTGAACAGTATGGAAGCCAGCCCAAGGAAAACATTGGGTTTTAACTATATAGTTGAAACAAGGCATCCTATTTAGAGCTCTCGCTTGGCGGCCACTAGACAATGATTTCAACATCATTTAACGATGCTTCGGCTCATCTAAACCAGAGCTTCAAGCGAAGCGCATCCACACCGTTTAAATAATAACGAAAAAGTCGTTTATCACGCACAAAGCCCAGGTTTTCATACAGGCGGAGCGCCGGTTCGTTGCGCATCTCCGTTTCCAGCACCACTTCGTCAGCATTGTCAGCAAGCATGGCCTGGAATGGTATTCAGTTGAAGATTTGAATAAATGCACAGTTAATTCTTGATAAATGAAAGCCTTACCTCAATGGCTTTGGTCACAAGCGTGGTGCCAATTTTAAGCTTGCGATACTCCTTACGCACCGCTAACATCGCTATGTAGCCGCGTCGCACGTTCATATGCATGTCCAGCTTGCATACAATGGCGCCCACATATTGATTATCGTGCGCGGCGAGGAAGCATAGTTTTGGCCAGTTGTAGATGAAATAGCGGTACGTGTATATCGAATATGGCTCAGACAGCTCGGCTTGTATCAGACGCATTATATCCTACAAATATAGTGGGTTAGCGTGTTGGGTTTATGGATCTACTCGGTTAGCTTACATGCATTTGATGCTCGGCTTCGTATTCTTTATAGACTATCTCATCGGCTGAAATGGCAGGTTCAAGCTGGAGCTGTTGTTGTTCTTGTTGGGGCTCTGACTCAGCAACGGCTGCCGCAGCAGCTGCTGATGTCGAAGGCGCCTCGTCCTGGGCGCTGGCCTCCGTAATGTTTGCTGTTGTTGTGGGTGTGTTGGCAGTGATTTTTCTTGTCGCTATTCCAGTATCTGCTGCTGATACGCTTGTCGTTTGCTGATCCTGCTCCCCGCTTTCCGATTCCTCGATCGATGCTTGGGACTTGTTGTTGTTTTTCGCCTTACTGCGGCTGCTACTATTGTTATTATTGCTTCTGTTGCGGCTACCGGTGTTGATGTTGTTGACATCGTTGTTGTTGTTGCTGCTGATGTTGTTATTGTTTATGTGATTGTTGTTGTTGATAGCAGTGTTCTTATTGACATGGCCATTAACAGTGGCCGCAACTGAGGCCGTGCCAGCCATTGGCTCAGCTGTTGCCTTGGCCCCCTCCTTGGCATGGCCATTGCACAGTTGCACCTGCTCCATGATGCCATTGATTAAGGACACATTTGCTTCATCAGTCTCAGACTGGACGACGTGCCCATTGGCCTGGTGCACAATAGCCTTGACTGCTTGTGCTGGCTTTGCCTCTGACTTTTGTGGCTGCTGCTGCTGTATTTTCTTTTTATTTCTGTACTTTTTCTTGGAGGCCGCCGCAGTTGTCGCTGCTGTCGCCGTGTCCGCCATGGCCGCCCGAGTCGCTGCTGCTGAACGAAAGCAGTATTTTAATTCTAAACAGGAGGACACAGCTGAGTGCACTGGTTGGTGAGCGGTTAACGGGGTATGTTGTATGCTTACCTGCTCCAACTGCTGCAACTTCCCAGCTGTTGATGGGCTACGTCACTGTCGCTGGCGGGGAGTCAACGCACTCAAGATAGAATCGCCTTTATTTTTGGTTATATTTTCACAGTTGCAAGTTTTTCATTCACACACCCGCACACACGCACACACACACACTCATACAGCTCCACAAGCGATGGGCGATGTTAACGTGCCTGTGACCAATCGCAGTTATTGGTAACAAGTCACAGTTCCTGAAAAATAAAGTAGCGGGATAAAAGCAACAAGAGCTGTGTCCCATTAAAGTGTATTAATTTAAACTTAATTATAACTAACTCGTCTATAATCTCATTAAGGCATGAGTAAAATATTTATAAAATTGTATAAAGAGCATTAGTTGCTGAGTAACTACTCCATTGTTAAAGGGATTGCATTTTCAAAAGTTACTTTCGTCCCATCATCACATATCACTTAGATTCAAATATCGCAGCGTTTACCATCTCTAACGCACACACACATACGCACACACTTTACTGCTTGTCGCACTTTGTTCATGTTCCGTTTGGAGTGCTCAATTTTATTTAGCTTTATTGTATGCACGTGTGTTGAAGAATATTCAAATTGTAACACAATCAGCGCTAAACGTATATTTATTGTTGCTCACCTCTTCTGTTTTCGTTTTTTTTGTGACTCGATTTGTTCGCTTGGTTATGAATAAATACACTCGCATACACACGACCACATGTAACACAGCGAACAGCTGTGCACACGCATTTCAGTTGTGCAAGCTATCGATTGCTGCCGATTGACATTCATTTCGATTGTCTTTTTCGATACGATAGGCAAATAGAGCTGTGCCGCCTCTTTGTTTACTTTTCGAAAGTGTCTTTTTGCATCATCCGCCTGTCTGTAACTAGACTAGGAAGTAAATTTATAAAAGTAAATAGAAGTGTTAAAGCTTGTTGACCTCACCTACTGAACCTGGGGGCGGCCGAGAATCGATACATAATTTTCTAGTTTGCGCCCAAAATATATTTGACTAATTTTATTGGTAATTACGGTAAACAGAGTATAGCGCAGCGCTATCCGAGAGATACGTTCTTATTTGTTTTATGCATACGTAGATGGCAAAAACTATTTATATTTTTGTATTTCTTCTTGACATACATAGGTTCTATAATTAAAAAATATTCATGCTGTAGCTAAACAACATCAAAATAAATAAGTAGTAACCTTTTTTCACTTCACAATAAATTAGCTAATACAGTAAGGTGTATTTATATAGACATCATATCATATATCATATTTCATACATGTTTTCTTGGCTTTTGACAAAAACTTGGCTTTGTGCTGGAACTGTTTGAATCGAATTTAAATATTTTTAGCATGCTAAACTGCAATAAATGTTGGTTCCCTCATAAATAAAATTGAAATCAAAACCAACATGAAAGGCAACAAATGTAACCTTCGCCTACTTTTCAGTCGGCAGTCAAAACTCAAAAAGCACGTAAATAAAATATAACTGAAATATACCAAGATTAACGTCCACACTTGATACAAATACAACTGTGACTAAACTTTAATTTGATTTCTGTCGCCGCGACTCTGAATAGCTGGCCATGCAAAGTGAACGCTGGGGTATGCTTCCTTCCTGCTTAATTTCGGTGGGGTGGGCACTGGACATCGGCCAGCTGCATGAGTCAACTGGAGCCAGCGTTTCGAAGTGTTTCCAAGTGTGCTTGTCTGTTGCCGGTCGGATCCGGAGTGGTCTTGCCTTATGTAAGCGACGCATAAGCTGCTGCGTCTTGAGAGATTTTAATTTCAATTCGATTTTTAGCTGAGCGGCGCTTAGTCAAAGGCTGCGCACAAAGACAGCGAATATGAAAACGAGATGAACACGTTGTACAATGCTTGCTGAAGATTGGATACCCTAGGGAAGTGCACACAAAATGTAGGGGATGAACAATTGCTATTTCTAAAGTAAAAGTGTTGACTAACATCTCGGTGATAACTTTTTATTGTATATGAAAGTGCAAATTATAATTATTATATAAGGAGTTCATCTTGCTTATATTAAGATTTCTTTTATTAAAAAATCTGTGAGTTGGCAAAATCAAACTATCTTAAGAAATTCAATAAGGAAAATATTCAAACTACCTTTTCGCAAGCAATCGAAGCCAACGATAAAGTTGTTTGTTGCTCGTCGATTTTGTTCATACATTATCTATCGGTAAAATCATAATACCCCTTTTAGTAAATGGTAACAAAACTGCTCGACACACACCGGAGGCCTTTCACTTGGACAGCTCGAAAGCAAACCAAACCAAACCAAACGAGTAAACGGGCTGGCCAAGAAGATGAAGATGACACAAACGAGTCGGGCAGAGGCTGCGTCCACGGCCTTAACTGCACTCGACTGCACATATATTAAGCATACGATATGGAGCGAGCGATGTTAATTAGCACCGTCTGTGACTTTAGCATTTAAGGCATGAGTTGTGGCACCCCTCGGGCCACTGATTGATTGGGCGCTTTATGGCCATGTGAATAAGTTAAAAGATCGCGCTGCGTTGACATCAATTCGACGCCCGCTAACAAAAGACTTAGGCAACGAACTTGGCATTGCTTGTCGCTTGCTGTTGTTACTGCCGCTGCTGCGGCTTCGTCTTCTTCTTCTGCTGTTGTTGGCAGTTATTTTTGTTATGGGTACTTATCGCAGGAATTGGAGCACAATGCACGCAATGCGCTTACACCAACAACATGTGATGTAATCCCGCTCCAAATCGTGCCAAATTGTGCCATCAGCTCAAAGCGATTAGAAGCGTTGCGTGCGGCTGTAGCATGGCCAGTCGATTGAATAATATTCGCTAAAATTTGCATACGCCAATGCATAATCGTAAAATCGGCTCTCTCTCTCTCTTTCTTGCTCTCTCCGTTTGTTGTTTCACTTTTAAAAAGACCAAAAATTAGCAAAGCAAACAGCAAAGTCAAATAAAAGGCATGCGGAGAAAGTGAATGGCCGCCATAAAGTAAAAGCAAAAAACAATAACAACAGCAGCAGCAACAAACAACAAACAACAACTGAAGATGAGTGACAAACCAACGCCCGTCTCTTATCAAAGATGCAAAATGCTGTGCAACGATTACGCAGACTCCGTATGCCACACTCCAACTGGGCCTGGGCATGGGCCACGTTTATTTTTTGCACATGCACTTAGCCAGGTCGTCAAGCAATTTACGTTTTTTGTTTTTGAGCCAGCAGCAGCAGCAACTTTGGTTGGGGCAGTCATGTCTCCGTTTTGTGTGGTGTCATTTAGCCGGCCCCTGTTGCAACTCATGTGCATGGGGCAAAGTCAAGCCAAAGACTCGGAAAATCCAAGCGACAGCCACAGCCACCACACGCATCCAGCAAACAACAACACTTAACTTGGGCACCACTCAAGCGATTATTTGTATACCCTGTAGCCATATGTAATGGGTATAATCAAGCATGCAATAGACAGATCTCCGATTATATAAAGCAAGAAAGAGAGAGAGAGAGAGAGAGAGAGAGAGAGAGAGAGAGAGAGAGAGAGAGAGAGAGAGAGAGAGAGAGAGAGAGAGAGAGAGAGAGAGAGAGAGAGAGAGAGAGAGAGAGAGAGAGAGAGAGAGAGAGAGAAAGAGAGTGAGAGACAGAGAGAGAGAAAAAGGCAGAGAGAGAGTGAGAGATGGAGGAAAAACATCCACTCGCTCAGAGTTTTTACTCACTTCCAGGAATGCCCACTCTCTTCATATCGCCCTTCTTTGCGATTTTCATAATATTTTTGTAGTCTTAATAACATAAGTAGTAAAACCCACCCTCTTGAGGGTATTCAAATGCAAATGTATCAGTACTACCTACTGCGTATCTTATAGCTGATCAAATTCCACCTACACACGTACATTGAAGAAGCTATTAGACGAAATTGCCGCGTCAGCGACAAATTGTGTCAAATGTTGTCACCAAAAAGGTAACAAAGGGCAGACACGGTCTGTGCTGAAACGAACCGAGTGGTAAACATCTTTTTATTTTTACGTACACAAGTAAATGCCAGGCCAAAATGGTAATGCTACAAATTTGTTGCTAAAATCGTTTTTAATTATTTCGAGCAAAATCGTGCAAGGCAGTTATACATATATTTATATATGCATGAACATGGATCTTTCGCTGTGTATTGAGCAAGGGCAGGCCGCGTAGCATTATGCAAAGCTAGAAGAGCACAAAAGTGGGGCATAGAGCGAAATATAAAATAAATACTGCGACGTATGTTAAACAACTATTGACACTAAGTAAACAAATTACAACAGTTTTTTATGTGTGTACTCATGAGTCTTGAATGTTTTCATAACCTTAGCTCGCCCACTCAAGACAAAGCAAAAAGTTAGAAGTGCTTGAAGTCTAAAACAATGCAATGTTAACAGGCCTGAGAAGTTTTTGATTGCAATTCTAGATTCTAAGCAAGATTTTATATTTTGTATATGTTTTTCTTGTTTCGTTCTGGTAGTGAAATAAATTTCCTTATTATGTAGCTATACAATCGGGAAATATTTTCAAAGCTAAACGCTTCTTCCGGATAGACAATATATTTTTCATTTTTATTATTCAAATCGTAAATAACAATGCAGTCTCTCAGATCTTGGCTCAGCCGCACCAAACAATAATCGAACTGATCGTAAACTGAACCCAACTGGTCAGTCGCCGGGCATCAAATCGAATTACAATGCACGAAATGATCCAGTTTCACTAATAAGCAGCCATTGGCTGAGTGCACCGAGAGGCAACGCAGTGCAATGTGATCGGTATATATAATATGCGTATGCATCTGTGTATGTGTCTGTATATGCTTAAGTATACATGTATGTATATAGGCTTCCACCCAATATACATA